ATCCCATAAAAATACTTGAAAAGACGCAGTTTCAGTGTTTAGTATTCTGCGAATATACAGGGTGAAGAACTTAAACGTACCACCTAGTTGCAATCTCAGAAACTATTCGATTTAGAGAAAACATTATATGGGGAATTTCAACTACTATCTTATGACATTCAAAAATATGAATTCTCTTCCTTTAAAGTATGATATTTTCAATATTTAACTTAAAATTTCTTATCGGACACCTTGTGTTTTATGACGATTTTAGACTGTAATTTTTAAAATTTTTTCAGTTTAATTTTTTCTATAAAGCTACGTAAAGGAGTTACAGCGTGTACAATTTAGATTAAAGGAGGTTTTGGTTGCATTTAGCATGATATAGCTCATAAACGAGTAAGTTTGGAGAAAAAGTGCAAAGAACAAATTATAAATGTTTTAAAATTACATCTACATTCTAAAAAGATCATAAAATATATTGAAATTATTTCTTTGAGACATCAGGTTCATGTAACAGTTATGGGATAAACAACAGACCTAAAAACTGTGTTTTGTTATCATAAGTTATCTTGAAGTTCTTTGAAAAGAATCCTTCATATGTCGGTATTATTTTGTGTTAAATTCTGCCTGATAACTTCTTAAAACTAATCAACTAAAAACATTTATGTTAACCAAGTCCATCTATCGTCTAAATTGATTTGTTGATTGAATGTGGTTTTATTTAGTACGTTATTAGTTTAAATTTATATTTAGCCGTTTTAGATATAGTTTGTATTAAAGATTCATTTAACTGAGATGTAATTCTTGTGCAATATGCATCTACTTATATATAATTAAACTTTGAAAATCTTTGTACAACTAAATCTAGAGTTCTACTGGACCGATTTATTAATTAGTGGGTCATTGGAAAGCTTATTTCATGAAGATTTGCAAATAATTATGAACGTTAAGCGAATTAATAAATAAATAAATTATACTAACACTTTGTAAAACTTGGTGAGAACAGCACTAACTATGTCGTAACACTACAAAACCACAGATAGGAATGAGCGTTTCCGTCACGTATTTCTCTACTCCTAGAGGAGTGTTGGAATTGTTACCATAAAAATGTTGCAAGAGAGGGTGATAGTGTGAATTATAGGTATTCCTTGGTCCAATCGGCCGGTGCCTAGAGGGGTGATGACCCACGGACTAGGGTTGGGGCTGATGACTCACCCAGCCAGGTATAGAGTGGTGGCAAATGACACAAATCCTAGAGTGGTGGCAGATGACACTGGTGGCAAATAACACATATTCGATAAATTTATCAATATTATCATGTAACTTACTCTGAGAAACATACAACTTAATGAAAATTGAAAGAATGATGTTATTGTAAGTACAAACAGTACAAAACACTATTGTTTGAGAAACTTAAAACTATAAAAAGTGTATGCCTATTATTATTACAAGTGAATTTATGTGGATCGATTGCTGATTACCACTGCATGTGTTGGGTATCTTCCACACATCCTAATTCTGTATTTATATTTAATAATTAGGGAGGTTACCACCCTCTCACACAAATAAATTATTAGGACCCAATAAGGTTAAATTAAGCTCTCACGTTGACTTTACTACGAAACCTCAAATATTAAAATTTTAGAATATAAAAGTTGTTTTGTATATTTTTACAAGTTAGATTATACCCTAATCGAGCATTTATCACAAATCCGTCCTAACTACATTCCGTAATCGCAGCACTAAGTTAATCTGATCATCTCTAGCCTAATGATCTAGCCTTGGTCACTTCGTATTCGTTGTCATCTCCCTTGTTCGCAGTAGTTCGCATACCGGTACTCTCCACGTCAATTGGTCCAAAATCAAACATGCTGGGTTAGCCCTTTGCCTATTGTGGCAATATTGTAAATTATTATAATTAATACCAACATCAATCACATTCAACTGTGAATAGGATATTCAGAAAATATTGCTAGTTAAAAAAGTAGTGCCTGTTGCTACCTGCTCAGTAGGCTACTTACTATCATTGGTGATAACTAGACCATTTTGGTTGTGAAAATGATCAGTCCCGTTAAAAAAAATCAAAAGTATGATCTCTTCCTCGAGACCTAGCCAAACTGCGACCCACTGGGAACCACCGCTCTAGGGATATGGCTAGGCTACATAAAATCTACTGAAACTTTCTTTGCTTAGCATCCAGGCGGTCGCTTTTACCGGTATTTTATAAGGTGCCAGTGAGGGCATGGTAATAAGGACAGTTACAGAATACAGCAATAGCCTTACTAGTAGGCTGTAAGTTATTAGCTTATGAAGTCAGGCCACCAAAACCAATAGGCCTAAATACACCAGGGTTTGAGAAACGAAAAAGGGGTCAGACAACCAATAAAATGGACAATGGTAAATCAGGATGCTTAATAAATATTAAGCATAAAAAATACTTGGAAAATTGAATATGTGATTTAGATGAAGACAGAGTAATTTCAGTTTGCCTATAAAAGGCTAAGCTATTGTAAAAGTAGGCTAAAATAAATTAGCCTTTGAACTTAGGTACTTTTCAATATACTGTAGGCTAATTGTTAATAGTAGCCTATATTAAGTTATTATTATTAAGTATAACATCTTTTCTGAAACAAAAACTGTTTGAAATCTCTGTTGGATTGACTGTATGACTCGTTTTATCTTTGTGGTTTTTAATAATATTGGGGGGAAGGGTTGTCTGGTGACTATTGTGTAGCGTAAAGTAACTAAGTTAGATATTATTAACGATACCTGTTAAATAGTTTTCATTATAAAAAAAATAAGTAACGTGCCACATCAAACTGTGGATTAAATACCGGTAAAAAGGTTAAGTTGCAAATGTTTAACTCGAGATTTCCTTTCGCTTATGGTGTAGGCCTATTTTACTAAGTTTTTACTGACAATACGGTACCGGTACCTATTTTTTTACAAAATACAACTGACTAAGTTTAGTCAAGTACAACTTTATCCCTCCAAGATTTAAAATAGCCTAGGCCTAAAGATTTTTAGACCAAAAAGTTAAGTTAAAGGTGACATCCCAATTAATTTAGGTAGATCATTCAATTACCCTAAGTTAACCCTTTGAGTGCCAACGTCCGGGGAACCGGACGTTTTTAGAACGAGCCAAAAGTGCCAACGTCCGGCTGACCGGACGTTTCGTAATGATCGAACAGTTGTCATAACAACCGAATGGATACTCGGATTCTTTTAACCCATATATTAACATTGAGTCGAAAGTTACTAGATGCAATACATCGATTTTCGTTGGTCGAAATATCGAAAATTCGATTTTTACGAAATTTTAACCTAAAAATTGCCAGATCGCGCTCGGCATTTTTAGCGCGACCTTCGGGAAAAATCATCGGCATTTTTTGAGCGTTACTTTTATTTCTCGCCTGGCACTCTAAGGGTTAAGTTAAATATGCCTACGTTAACTTATGCTTGAACTAAAAAAGCAAGTTAATTTTTTGAGTTGTTTAAGTTAGCCTATTTGTTATAAATAAAAATTACACTCAGTTTTAAAGAGGTGGTGTTTAAGTTACTTTGAGCTGAGCTCAAAATTACATTGTCAAGTCTTAAGTTTAACTTTTTAAGTATTATTTATACAATAAATTTATTAGCCTACTTTTACTTTTCATATAAGTTAGAGGTACCGGTACCCTACAGCATTTATAAGTTAAGGACCTAGGTACCTAAACCAGTGGCTTACATGTCCAAGTAAATGGCTAATAGCCAACAATAATTATTTACAGTACAGTAGGCCTAGGCCTAACTTAACTTAATAAATTAAGAAACCAGTGAATAAGTGTGGGTCAAAGTTATACCGGTGTAGGTCTAAGCAACCGTGATCTCATAACTTCCCTACCTGAAACATTTAAAATTTAGGAGACCAAAAAGTTGTTGAGTTTATAATTGTTTTAATCGGTACCTACTCTCAAAATTAGCCTAAAAAGTTTTAACTTAAAGCATGGTCACTAAGTTAACATAAGTTACCAGTAACTTAGGCCAAAGTTGATTAAGAAGAATAAAGTTCAAGTTTAACTTAAGTACAAAAATGCACTTTTCTGTTTGTTTAATTTTGTTTCAAGATATTAAGTAGGTTAAGTAAGTTATACATTTCATTAGGGTGCCATCTGCTTCACCTTCGTTAAACTTAAGTCTAAGTTATTAAGTTAAGTTCGAAGGCTAATCCTGTCTGTCTGAATAACTTAAGATTAAGTTATCAGTCATAGACCTAAGTCTGCTTCAAAATCAATTAAGTTCGGTGTTGTAGGATAAAATTTAGAGGCCTTAAACATTTAAGCTTATCTTAAGTTATTAACTTATAAGTAATGTTGAGATGGAAGAGATGTGCCCTGGTACAGGCCTAAAGCAGCTGTTACCACCAAGGGTACCTACTGGCAAAGTAAGTATTGAACCATCTTGTTTTAATCATGACTTTCAATCGTGCTTTGCAATTTATAAATAAAATCCGTACAATACTCGGAACCAAATAAGTGGCAGAAAATAATATCATTATTTATAGGTTATAATGTGTTCTATTTTTACTGGATGCTTCTACTGTTATTTTAGAGCTGTACAAATATGGTTAATCTACTTAATCGGTATACAAGTTTCATCTTATAAAATTATAAACGATTGCTTGGATATTGCAAGAGAAAACATATGGAATCTTAGAAAACCTAAATTTTATTTTTACAGCGAAATAGTACAACTTAACCCAAATTCTGCACTTCACTTGTTGACGTGGCGTGACCAAAGACAAAGTGATTGTTTCAACTATTGGGTACAATTAACAAAGCATAATTATTTAACAGTTAAAAGCGAATAATAAGGGAAACCAATAGCTTGATTAATTACCACTGTTCAACTGCCTTGAACGTTTTTATGCGATGCAAAATATGGCGACACATCATTGCAGACAACTGTTACACCATCCTGATACTAAAACCCTAATGTTTCTGAAAAGGAAAGAAGTTTACATAAAAATTTGTACTCACTTTATTCTTCAGGTAGTCTTCTATCGCTCTAAATGCCGAATCTGTGAGTTTCACAAAAATTAATTCCTTATTTTCCACAAAATTACCCGACGATGACAATCCATACTGAACACCTGCCACCAGCGCCGCCATTTCTATCTTGACGCTTGCACATACAGACCAGCTGACGTTAGAAATCCAAAGTAGCAACTATCACTTGTTTATTTCAGAACAAATTCGGTTGAAATATGTAATTCAGCATTTCTGCTATTAAGTTAGTATTAAAACTTCGAAAATTATTATTAAAAGCATCTTTTAATTGCGATTATGATTATTTAAACTAATACGAGTACTGTTTTTGTCTTGACTCTAGAGTAGATCCGTTCGAATTTCAACTAGGAAGTAAACTTACCTGTTTTTTACCAAATCTGCCACTACAATAAATTAGCAGCACTTGTCGATAGTGATAAGAACCAAATTTTCTTTTACAAAAAATAGGTATCAGCAAGTTGTCTAAAAGTTTTGTTGGGGTTTAGTAATGTTAATGATAGCTGAGTGAACTTTATTAATATAAACTTATATATAAAATTATCATAGACTACTGTAATGTAATGGGAATATCAGTCCAAGGAATTCCACAAAAACAAAGTTAGCCTACTGTAGTAGGTGCCATAATTCTTAGATTCATAAAAAACACAAAATATAAAAAAAGACTTCAAGCAATTGAACACATCAATTAATTGCACATCAAGTAATATGGAGAAAGAAGTACTTAGATTGTTTTTGTAAAAATTTTTGAGTTTGAGTTTTTTCCAGACTTAAGACTGTATCCATTTTGGGCCACCCTGGCCCCAAAAAAATTGGTTTTCAAAATAATGTCTGTGTGTGTAGGTACAGAGAGAGCTACAAACCACAACTAAATGTGGTGACTGTGGTTCAATTTTGATGATTGACCCTTTTTTGTAACGTGACACGCCACAATAGTATAATGTAGATATTTTTTAATGGTTTTATAGTGTTTACATATATGTAAATAGTAACATGACGCAATCTATCCGACATGTCGGTCAACGATGTAGAAGACAAGTATTTCAAGTAAGTATTTGATGAAATTTGGTAGGTATGTAGGTTAACTCATTGGATCTCCAGGTATTTTTATTTTTTTTATTTTAAGAAGATTTTTTTATAAAACTCTTAAAATAAGTAAAAATCAAATTTTCAAAAATGGCTCGACCGATTTTGATTTAAACTTAGAGTGTTATAGTCCTTATAAAAACTCTTTAAAAATGGCACAAAACCCATTTAACTTTTTTCCCCATAAAAATCATAGTTACTCCCACCCGCTTACCCATAATAAGAGTGTTGACAAGCTAATGAGAAAGTATCTATGTGTCATATAGCTGATACAGTTAATAATCGTTTATAATATTGAGAAAAAAACAATATTACTTTGTATACTAAAATCATAGACATCCATACACATGCAAGCTCATGGGCAAACTGCAGGAGAACGTGAATGAAAATAAGAGTTTAAGTTCTATTTAAGTTCTGTTTAAGTTCTATTTACTATTTGTGTTTGTCATTATCATACCAATCAAGAGGTGATGAGGAGGTCCATGAAGTTAGCGTACCCATATTAGCGAATCCACTTTTGTTTGTATCAATCAGTTCATTGTTAGTTCTCGATAGTTCCCCAATATTTTCGTCAGTTCTCTAAAATTAAAAAAAGTTATAGCCGATAATAAGTGGGTACGCTAACTTCACACTTCCGGTTTCTAGTGCGCACCGCTTTCAGATGAAAAATGCTTACACCTATTTACCAAACGTTAGTTCTCTATAGTTCTCCAATATTGATGCTGAATCTTGAAAAATAAAAAAAGTTACGAGGCATAAAAAGTGGGCACGCTAACTTCACAATTATAGAATTTCCAGCGGGCACCGTTTTCTGACGAAAGACTCTTATATCTATTCATCAATTGTTAGTTCTTCATTAGTTCTCGATAGTTCCCCAATATTTTCGTTAGTTTTCAAAAAATAAAAAAAAAACTTATAAGGCATTCAACGTGGGTACGTTAAATTCACACCTATGGAATTTCCAGCGGGCACCATTTTCTGACGAAAAAAGCTGATATCTATATATCAATAATTAATTCCTTGTTAGTTTTCGATTGTTCTCCAATATTGTTGTTAGTTCTCCAAAAATAAAAAAGTTACAAGGCATAAAAAGTGGTTACGCTAACACACTTATAGAATTTCCAGCGGGCACCGTTTACTGATGAAGAAGAATACTTGTATCTATGAAGTATTCCTACTGTTACTTCTTTGTTTCTCTTATCACTTCTTCAAGATTTTGTTTAGTTCTAAAAAAAATTAAACAAAGCTATAACGTTGCAGTTCTTCATATGAAGGTGCACATTCCACGAAGGTGCGCACTCCATTACGAAACTGGTAATTGGAAATGTCAGATTAATGAAACTATTTACTAGCGGCCATAACATTGTTTTAAATTTTTTAGAACTGACGAAAATCCGGTAGTATCGAGAATACACTAAATAATAACGATAAGTATATATAAATATTTTCTTTAGATGAAAATGCACACTACAATTTTATGTATGTTCATTTTTCCGCCTTGTAACTTTTTTATTTTCGGAGAACTAACATCAATTTGGAAGAACTATCGAGAACTAATAAGGCACTGATGTTTGATACGGATATAAGCATTTTTCGTCAGAAAACGGTGCCCGCTGGAAATTCTATAATTGTTAAGTTAGCGTACCCACTTTTTATGACCGCTTGTTGACAAATTCACAGTTTGGATTTCGAGAGGGTAAATCAACAACTGCAGCTGTCTTAGAAGTAATTAATAAATCTTTAAATGCATTTGAAAATAAAGAAACTGTTTCATTAACTTTATTTGATCTTACAAAAGCTTTTGACTCTGTACCTTTTGATATTTTATTCAAAAAACTTGAATTTTATGGTATTACAGGTGAAACTTTAAAAATTTTAAAATCCTATTTAACTAATAGAAAGCAGTATGTATCTGTTGGAGGCAGTCAGTCTAACTTAAGATTGGTTGAAGTAGGTGTTCCACAGGGCTCGGTTTTGGGACCCTTCTTGTTTTTAATCTCGATAAATGACCTGCCGAGGAATGTTGATGTAGACACTGTTGTATATGCTGATGACACAACTTTGATTGCAACAAATAGAGATATCCATGAGCTTGATTTAATTACTAATGAATCAATAACATCAGCACTAAATTGGTTTTCTTCAAATAAATTGACATGTAATCAAGAAAAAACACAGAAAATTCTTTTGAGTCTATCCCCACTTGACAATGAATTAAAATCTGTAAAATTATTAGGCTTCCAAATTGATTCAAAATTAAATTGGCAAGAGCACATAGAAATCACTTGTAAAAAAATTTCCAGAGTAAATTATCTAATTTGGAAACTCAGAGATTTTGTTAGTAATGAATACCTTCGGATTACTTATTTTGGTTTTTTTCAATCTCATATTTCTTACGGGATTATACTATGGGGACACTCCCCCCACACCCATGAAATTCTTTTATTACAAAAAAAAGTCATACGAACAATTTGTGGGGCTGGCCCTGTGGATAGCTGTCGACTTCTTTTTATAGACCTTAAAATTATGACCGTTGTAAATTTGTATATTTTTCACATACTCCTCTACACTAAAGCCAATCTTCATCAATTCACTTGTAGAGAGAGTATACACTCTTACAATACAAGAGGCAAATCCAATCTAGATATCCCTGCACATAGATTGGCCAAAACAGATAACTGCCATAAAATAAATTGCATACGGTTTTTTAATAAATTAGGTCTGACAGCAAAACAGGTTCCTTTTAATAGGTTTAAGTCTAAAATGTTTGAGTGGCTCATCCAAAATCCATTTTACTGTATAACAGAGTACTTAGTTTCTGATGTTAATATTAATTTTTAATTTAGAACCCACTGTATTTTATAGCTTTAGTTTTTATTTATTGTTGACTATGTCTATTCCTTGTAAAAGGTCAATGACAATAAAGATCTTGATTCTTGATTCTTGATTCTTATGCCTTATAACTTTTTTTTCTAGAACTAGCAAAAATATTGGGGAAATATCAAGAACTAACGAAGAACTGACGATTGATACATAGATATAAGCATTTTTCGTCAGAAAACGGTGCCCGCTGGAAATTCTATAATTGTTAAGTTAGCGTACCCACTTTTTATGCCTTATAACTTTTTTTTTATAGAACTAGCAACAATATTGGGGAAATATCAAGAACTAACGAAGAACTGACGATTGGTACATAGATATAAGCATTTTTCGTCAGAAAACGGTGCCCGCTGGAAATTCTATAATTGTTAAGTTAGCGTACCCACTTTTTATGCCTTATAACTTTTTTATTTTTCTATAACTAGCAACAATATTGGATAACTAATGAGAATTAACGAAGAAGTAACGGCATTGACTATATAACACTACGTAGTGTTGTATAGTCAATGGTAACGGTTAGTACATAGATATAAGCATTTTTTGTCAGAAAACGGTGCCCACTGGAAATTCGATAGGTGTGAAGTTAGCGTACCCACGTTGAATACCTTATAACTTTTTTTATTTTTTGAGAACTAACGAAAATATTGGGGAACTATCAAGAACTAACAAAGAACTAACAATTGATATATAGATACTGTATAAGAATTTTTTTATAAGAACTATTGATTGGTACGAACAAAAGTGGATACGCTAATATGGGTACGCTAACTTCAGGGACCTGTGATGAGGACATGACAGATAAAATGGTTGAAATCATAACCTTTTGGTACGATATACAATTGATTTGCTGTCTATACTGATCAATAACACCCTCTATTAGTGGTTTAAACTAAGATCATCTTTTCTAAAACTAATCCTGGAAATGCAGGATAGATACTTAAATATTATTAGAAAATGCTGAGTAACAGATGAGAATCCCATCATAAAGCAGGTGAAGTTAAGTCCAATGAGTTGGATTGGATTAGTGTTTTGCATGACCAGGATAGTATTTTTAGGCGATGATGAGTGTTCTTTACTGACTAGGATAAGCCAATTATTACCAGTATGGCTGGGTAGCTGGGTTACAGTGCTCACCTAACAAACCTTAAACTGTTAGACTATAGGGTGATGTGGAGGGGATAGATTTCTTCCCCTAAACCGCCTATATTTTGTGAACAGAGTATAGGCATCTAGCTCACCACGTTCATATTACACACTCGTTCTTTATGCATATACAGTAGACTCCCTCTTATCCGGCAGTCCGGACAACGGGTTTTCCGGTTAAGCCGACATCCCCAAAAACTCATTAAAACAGACCGTTTACAGTGATATCCGACTTAAATTTAGGAGAGCATTGTATTTAAACATGTGAGACCAGTGATGGTCTCAAATCTTTCCCACGAGAACAGTCGTTTCAGTACCGCCCACTTCCTGCCGATCTAGTCCAGTTAAACCAATGTACTGATGAAAATTGTCCGGTTAAAGAGATATGTATTTTCCGTTGAGTGTAGTCCGGTTAAACCGATGTCCAGTTAAAAGGTCTGTATAAGAGGGAGTCTACTGTTGGATCAAATAAACCTATCAGCCCCTAGTGATACATTTTTATTTAATTCATTTTGATCTGTCCAATAATATCTTTACAACTACACAACTTAACAGTTTAGATAGATTGATCACTCAAATATTATTTAAATTTACAAAATCTCCCTCTTTATCAAATAATCTTTCTTTACTGAGATGTTTCATGTGACCTTGATTTCTTAAGCTTAAAATCTGGTACTGTATTATATATTTTTAAAAGAATTAGGTTGATGGCACTTCCCAGCTTTTTTGTGTGAACAATTTCATACATTTGTACAGTACAGTAAACTGTGCTGTTAAAAGTAGTGGCAGGTACAAGAATCCGAACCCCTGACATCGCTGCCTTGGGCTGAAGTCATCGGTGCTATCGACAGAGCCACCAACTTACCAAATTCAATTGTGTGAGTGACTTATTGCCATTCTATTTAATTCCTTAGACGAGATTTTAGTTTTTGATGATTGATTAAAATCTTATTCGCCCTCTTGTTCTTCATCTCTGTAGCATACATCTTGATCTTGAATTAATAGTGTATATCTTTTATTTTTTTGTGTGTATATTGATTTTGTTAATAGTATATTGTAATTGTCAGAATCTTTATTTATTTGATAAATGTTTTGACTGCCTGTGTCCATATTATGTATATAACAGCAAGATTAATTTAATCTGTTGTAGCTATTCTTGAATTTTTGTTAATAGTTTGACATATCAATAGTATAATGTACACCAATACCAATACAGTACAATTGTAATAGTCGAAATGATTGAATAACTTACTAAACAGCTGCTTGTTTCCAGTAACAAAATTGAACACATGTTGGAAGACGGTTTGAGAAGTTACCTTTACATAAAAATTATATTAGTTTTTTAGTGTTGTTTTGATCAGATAAATGTTCAAAATGATAAAAAATATAGTTCGTCTCACGGGCAAAAGTCTCTTTTCAACCCTCGCTCATTTTTCAACCTCAGCTTTGCCTCGTTCAACTTGAGCTCGGGTCCAAAAGAGTCACTTTACGCCCTAGTGATTCACAGAATGGGTGAAAATGATGAAATGAAATATACTATTTTTTCGTTTCAAAATATTTTTCTTACCCTCAAGCTTTGGTTGGCATACCGGGACTCTAATTCCGCCCCCTCTTACAATACAGTACTCTCGTCTAGAAAGGCAATTTAGTAGTCTTTTAGGATTGGTAGTAGGCTTATAAAAGTTAAATGATTAGTTTCAGGTGGATTGCTCGTTATACATCTTTGAATTGTGCCATTTTATGAGACGGTAGATAAAATAGTTTATTAACAAAAAATAATAAAATATCTAAGGGAAAAAACATCAATGAGAGTCATGACTGTTGTGATAGCGACAGCCACAATGCTGAGCCTAACCATTGACTATATAACACTACCTAACTGAGTAGCTGAGTGGAAATGGTGCTCGCTTGGTAATTAAATGGTTGCACGTTCAATCCTATGAAAACTCTACATCTTTTTAATGGTTTCTCTAATTGCTCCCAGCTGTCTTTGATTTTTTAACAAATGATCCTCGCTAAACCAGCTGATCTAAAGCCGAGCTTTCCTAGGCGCAGAAGCAGAGCTTGGAATGTGGAGTGCAGGGAAGCGATTTCAATTGCGATCTGCTCGGCTTCTAGGAAAACAGTACCCTTAAATTATAAAAGACAGGAGAAGAACAGACTCCGCAGTCAGTTTCCTCGCCTAGGAATACCCGGCTCAATTCAGTAAGAAAGCTATCATCTATTTCATTCAAAATTCATCTTTGCCTTAAAATACGTGCCCTGAAGTGTTGGCATGGTAAAACTAAAACTATAACCTAATATCCAGCTCATAGGAGTCGTCCCTTTTTCTGCTTTATGATGGGATTGCAGCATTTGCTGGCGATTCCCCTGATCCAGGATAGGTAGGTTCTCTCAGTGTGCCTTGTGTGGTGTATAACTTATACAACCACAACATAATAGAGAAACCTATATTATTTTGTTTTCATCATTCTGAAATATCACTTCCTAAATTATTCCTTCTGGTAGCCATGTGTTTGGTAAAATGTATGAGTACAGTAGAACTCCAATTATCCGAATCAGTTGGGACCGTACCCCATTCGGACAATCAAAAATTCATATAGTTGGATTTTTACCGAAATTTTTACCGTCTTTTTATAGGAAATAGGCCGTCATGCCTTTCTTTAACTATCGCTGAACGTGTCGGAAAATTTAAGCGATTGCGGAGTACCCTACTGTTGCAATTTTCCGTGATTGCGGGAGACAACGATGGTGTCAACACAGTTATAGCCTATATTTAACTTTTTGCCACGATCGCAAAAAACAATGACGATGTTTCCGTGATCGTGGGAGACGATGGTGGTGTCAACAAGACCATAGAAAATATTTAACATTTTGCCGAATTTGCGAAAAACTTAACACAATTTTGCTGTGACCGAGGGAGACAATGTTATTCTAATAATCAGCGATTTGGATGGTTGGAGTTCGGATAATTGGAGTACTACTGTAATAGAAATTGTACTCAAATAATGAGCATTAAAGATAAAAATGTATTATTTTCAAAAGTTCCTAAGCAACTTATGATGAAACTAACAATAATTGTGTTTAAAAAATTTTATATTTCTTCTCACTTGCAGGTTTAGGCGAATTAGCAATTGCTTCTAAAGTTGCTTTTACACTGAAATGTACAGTACAAGTTTCTTTCTTGTTTGAAAAATGCAGATTATTCTTCACCAACGTTGTAGTAATTATAAATGTTGTTTTGCAGAAGAAACCATCACTAGTTAACAGCGCCTTTAAACTGTTTTCCCAAAACTTTGAACTTGTTTGAATTATTCATCATTAATTCAATAATTTTATGTATTTGTTTGCAGTGCGTCTAAGCCAGTTGCATTTTCAATAAAGAAACAACAAACCCTTTTAAGGGAAAGTGGTAAGTATTTTAAAAATGTGACTTTGCCCATTGCATGTACATGTTTAACGGCAATAAACGATTCTTATTCTTTTTATTCTTAAGGGGACAAGCCATCGTCCTTCTTGCATAAAAGTACAAGAGTCTAGCAAAACACCTACTAATTTTAAGATGTATTGCCCAGACTGACCAAAAGAGACTTTGGAACTATTTCTCAGAGATATTGATTCTTAAACCAAGACAATAATTAATGCTTTGTTTGACTTTGGTCCAAAGCATTTATCTTCTCTAAAAATATTCTAATTGTCTGTCATACATTATCACTTTTCTTTTTCCTACTGATGTAGTGTTAGACATACATAGAATAATTATGAATTGTTGATGTTGATTTAGTTTTGATAATAACTCTTTTAAAATAAACATGGGTTGTTTTTTTTTCTTGATAGTATGATTGGTTTCTTTTTTTATATGATGAGGGAATATATGTTCTGCATACATATATGTCCTAGAAAGCTTTAATTTTTGTCAGGTTCTTTACAGATACATTTAAGTAAAAAACAAGAAATGGCTGAGAAAATTCAAATATTACAGTAAAATGCATTTTTATTATACATAAAAATATAATAAATACAAATAATTACATAGTCCATAAAATCCACATGCAATATTTGTGTGGATTTTCTATTATTAAATATTTACACGTAAGTAAACAACCTTTTAGAAGGGCTATTTTTCACAAACAATTTTGTTTATTATTTACATGCTTCTGTATTATCTTATGGTGACATGTATTCCCCCCAAATGTTCCCGATCTGATCTGTAACAAAAGAAAACAAAACAATTATATTAACAATAAACAATAATAACAAGTCAAACTGTTACTCTATATCGGGGAAATAGTGCACCAGCCCGACCACAACCAAGACCTGTCGGATAGTTTGAAAGTAGACGAAAATGCAACTTATTGGTCGAACAATGTCTCAGTTAGAATTTGACACTGAATGTTTTATTATGAAATAGATAGGTACGTCAATTTATCTTCGTAATGATGTTGGTCCCCAGAACATTTTTCAAATTGTCCTTCTGCAGACATGGCAGTCAAAATTTGTATATACCCAGTATCGCTTTCTCTTTTGTTTAGTGTCCACTCAGTACAAATGCACTACACAACAGATTTTGTAGGTATCGATGACACCATTTTTAACCAGCCTTAAAATCACATTTGACCCTTTGAGAATCCCCGTAGTTATATTAAAAGTTAAGATATTCCAAAAACTTCTTTGACTGATTGTGTTTCTTTAGTTCAGATAAACTATACTCTATTGAAAGGTTTTTACAGCTAGGAAACTTATAAAACAACTTTACCCACCTTCTATTCTGGAACTTGTCAAATTACTGCTCAATTACTGCGCTTAAACTGATTCGAAGCCTGTAAAAATATAAGAAACTTGGTAAAACCCTTATATTTTTTTCTAAATATATGCAAAGCATCATGGTCATATTGTAAGCTGATGGATGACATATTCACTAGCAAAGGCTGTGCTAAGTAGTCCTACTTATTCTCGTTTTCAAGTGATTGGGCAGACATAGGTCTTAAATCAAGTGTTAAAACAGTTAGGCCACATCTTTGAACAAGAAAAATGTCTTTAAAAAGGATAAACTGGAAAATTTCAAGTGGTATAACCATTGGTATCATGAACTCAACACGATGTAGACCTAGATTCTATCAAATTTGTAAGTGTATAGGTCTGCATAATTTAAATTATATTGTCAGAGAAGAAAATACATTTTGCTGAAAGTAAATGAAATTATTGTAGATTATAGTAACACACATTAACACGTTCACTGCTGAAAACCTTTACACAGGCGCTCCTAAACTGTGGCGAGGCCCAGGCGGAGCCCCGGCACGCTAACTGAATCAGCGATCGCTATTAGCATTAAATACCTCAGTAAGACAAATCACAAAAGAGCAGTGGTGATTGTTCTGCGTTACCCCGAAAGTGGATGTAGTTCACTGAAACACCCAAAGGTACAACACTGCCTGGATCAATAACCAGAGTCTTTGTAATATGGCTCGAATAGAGAAAATCCCCGAAAACGGGACAAAAGAATTGCCAGGCGGTATTTTACGGGAATGTTTAGTACCAACCTACACCAAATAAAGCCCCATTGTCAAATATTCCGGCCTCAATCTTCACTGTCAATTTGTTCATTGTCATACATACAATTTTATGTACCACAATGACAAAAATGTTCAACAGTGAAGACTATAGGTCACCAGACTGACTGATTAGAGCGCTTTTCCTGTAGCGTTTTCATATCGCCCCTGGTGTCAGGGTAGAAAACTACATTCATCCCCTCCACGCTTAAAATCGGTTGGATAGCCTATTTAATTATTTACTTGTAATGTTTTCAAAACTTTGATGTATAGCCTACTGTGACACCAAATACTGGGAAATTTTACTATATTCACGCATCCAACAACGTTTACCCTGATACTTTAGACTCCTTGGAAAACAATTTTTTAGACTTAATATAGACACAGCTGCAAATAAACAAACTTTTAAAATTTTTCTCACCTGTTGCTGCAGCTGCCTCATCAAGTCTGACACATTTGGCTGGGACATGGCTGGGGCTGCAGAAAATGATTGCAGCATCGGTTGTTGTTGGAATGTCGGCGGTTGTTGGTTCAGTAGCAACAACTGTTGTTGCAAAGCTTGCATCTGTTGGGAGATCTGATTGATCTGGTCGCCTACACCAGTCGGCACCAGAGCACTCTGCAGCTGCTGCATCATTTGCATCATCTGCATTTGAAGTAGATTGTTGTTTGCAGGCGCAGACGCAGTCTGGACCGGTGTGGACTGGAAAGGTGCTGCCATCTTTGATCCACCTTGCATCTGTTGCTGAAGTAGCTGAAGCATGTTCAGTTGTTGCAAGCTGCCCAGCATATTAGCATGTTGAGTTGCATTGAAAGCATTTGTTGCAACTGGAGCTGGCGGATTCATAACTTTATCGATTTGTTGCAAGATTTGCAAGAGCCCCTTTGATTTATTCGATGGCTGCTGATTTTGAAGAGTTTGCTGCAACATGGCAATCAATGGCGACATCTGTTTTTTTAACTGATCTATTGACATGGTGTTTTTGTACTCTTCCAATTCTCTATCCAACATTTGAGATATCTGTGCAAGTTTATCTTTCTGATAACCTTGATCCAAGACACTGCAATAACTGTGTAGAGCTTGTTGTAACAGTCGTATGATTTGTAAAAGCTCAGACTGATGCTGATCAGTTGAAACTTTCGGGGTATTTGGGGGAGCAGATGAAGAAGTGCTACTTTGACTTGTGGGTTTTGGAACAAACTGTTGTGTTTTAGAGGTACTTCCTCCAGGTTTTTGCTGCAATGCATTCTTTAACTGTTGCATGATTCCCAACAATTCTACTGGCTTGTTATTTGATGAAGATTGATTTGAGATAAGAAGTTGTTCCAACAACTCGATGAGTTTTAATAGATTCTTTTGTTCAATCTCAGTTGTATTTCCACATTTTGATACTGCTCCTTCCAAAGACTGAGATATAACAGTCAATTGTGTCTTCATTAAACCATGTTCTATAGTACCAGCATAGGATTTTAAAGCTTTCTGCAACAATTGAATAATATGAACAAATGGATCTGGTTGATGAACATCTATTTCCTTTTTAATTTGTACTTGAGGAAGTGGTCTTGATGCTGATAACTGTGCAGGTGTGCTGTCCAACTTCATTGGTGCTCTTTCTTGTTTTGTGGGTGCTGTGTTAGTTTTCAGGTTTCTTTTCAATAAGGATATGACAGTGGTCAAATTTGTCGCTTTATTACCCAAAGTAGAAGTATTTCTCTGCAAAGCTTGTTCCAAAACATCTAAAACAATTAAAAATTTAGATTTTTGATCATCTGAGGCTTCCTTATCAGTGGGTAAAGAATGTTTTAAAAGTATGGCAATTTTTTCTAATTCATTTTTTATACTGTTATTTCCTAACGAACTTGTAGCTACATTCAACGCTTTGTGCAATAGTTCCACAATTTTATTCAATTCATTACTTTGAGTTTTAGATTGCGTAGAGGAAGAAGCTTCAATGTTCACATTAATTGAATTTGGTTTTCTGTCACTTTCTCTTGAAGATGTTCTTTGGTTCGAAGACTCAGTGTCCTGTCTACTGTATTTATCTGATCTAATTTCCTTCTGTGCATCATTTAATCTGCTTGAAGATGTTCTTTGGTTCGAAGACTCAGTGTCCTGTCTACTGTATTTATCTGATCTAATTTCCTTCTGTGCATAATTTGATCTGCTTGAAGATGTTCTTTGGTTCGAAGACTCAGTGTCCTGTCTACTGTATTTATCTGATCTAATTTCCTTCTGTGCATAATTTGATCTGCTTGAAGATGTTCTTTGGTTCGAAGACTCAGTGTCCTGTCTACTGTATTTATCTGATCTAATTTCCTTCTGTGCATAATTTGATCTGCTTGAAGATGTTCTTTGGTTCGAAGACTCAGTGTCCTGTCTACTGTATTTATCTGATCTAATTTCCTTCTGTGCATCATTTAATCTGCTTGAAGATGTTCTTTGGTTCGAAGACTCAGTGTCCTGTCTACTGTATTTATCTGATCTAATTTCCTTCTGTGCATCATTTGATCTGCTTGAAGATGTTCTTTGGTTCGAAGACTCGGTGTCCTGTCTTCTGTACTTTTCTGATCTAATTTCCTTCTGTGCATCATTTGATCTGCTTGTAAATGTTCTTCTGTCTGAAGACCCATTGTCTGGTTTACTGTAATTGTCTGACGTAGTTTCCTTCCGCTCATCACTTGATTTACTTGCAGATGTTTTACGGTTTGAAGGGGCACTTTCCCATCTACTATACTTGTCTGGTCCGCTTTCCATACGTGTATCACTCAATCTACTTGAGGATGTTCTGTGAATTTCTCTTGCACTCTTAGATTCTTGAGAGTTATGCCGTGAGGAAGACGTATCATTTCTTGTATATGATTTTTCACTTTCTCTTTCTTGTCTCCTAGATTCTTTCTTATCTGCTTCATTAAGAGCCTTAGTTTCGTTCAATGCTTGATCCTTGTTGTTACTTGATGTTATATCCGGAGTGTCGGTTGAATTACCTATTACAATTTTAAACTCAGCTTTCAACAGTTTCACAACTTCCCACATAGTTTTTGAAAGTTGATTTGATGGTAAACACAACAGTGTTTTCTGAAGAAGTTCCACCATTGTTGTCAGTTGTGCCCTTATCATTTCGTTTATTTCATTTGTTTTTGGCAGAGCGCATCTCAGTAGCTTAATAATATTCTCTAGTCTAGCTTTATCCCTTCCGACTTGCATTTCATTTATAAGTCCTGCCAGTTTTGCCAATGACTGATTGATTTTGCCTAAGGAGCTTGGATCCTCAGGTTTCTGACCCCACCTTGTTTTGGCGATTTTTTCCCCAGTTGAATTTATTGTTTGAGCTCCAGATGACTGAAAAAAATATACCTACATTAATTGTTTGTAATAAAATAGTATATTTTATCACTAGGGCCAGAAGTGACTCTTTTCGACCTGAGCTCAAGTTTTACGATCGCGACGAAGCTGAGGTTGAAAAATGAGCGAGGGTTCAAAAGACACTTTTTACCCGTGTGATGAACTATATTTTTCGTCATATTGAACCATTGTTCATATTTGAACAAAGTATGATACAAAACTAAAATAGGCCTAGTTTTCATTTAAAGAACCTCTCAATTTGACTTCTTACTTCTTTTCAATTTATTTTGCTAATGGAAAGTAAGTGATTCAATCGTTTTGTCTATTACAAGTGTAGATTGTACTATTGATATGTCGAACAATTAACAATAAGGCAACAATAAACTACAATTGATTAAACAATCGATACATACTTTCGATGCATGCGATTGTTTACAATCAAAAATTACAACTCAGTTGACAACAGCTGATTTTTACTCCCTAGGGGCTAAGCTAAAAATGAATTTTACTCTCTAGAGAGTAAAACAGCTACTTTAGACCCACAACGCATGCAATAAAAACCGCTATTTTTAATGCAGAATGAAGAAAAAAATCATTCCTTACACTTTGAAGCCATTGTTAGGCTATAAGAAATCATGTTAGTTGAATACTCTCGCAACAGCAAACCAGCAGAATAAGCTAATTTCAATCTGATTGGATTTTAACTCAAATATTTTCATAAACAGGCAGTATTAATGAATTACTGGGAGAAAATAAATATTCTTTTCTTATTCTTCATATTTATTCCATATAAATAACATTAGATTTTATAATACTTAAGTTTGCTGCTATAAGGAAGCAAAAAGGTGTTTTTTTTTATAAAATGCTATTTAAATTTGCGGGGTAGCGGATTTCTACCCCCGGATATTTACCCCCATGAAAAAACGCCTACGTCATTTTGACGTCACGAGGGGCGGGGCCTAAACACGGTCGAGAAACAGCCCGCGACTGGAAATTTACCCCCAATATATTATTAAATAATCAACCTAATTGTTTGATTATAAAGTGATTTGCTATAGCACGGAAATCTACCCCCGGACATCTACCCCCAGAAATCCACCCCCGGACATTTACCCCCGGATATCTACCCCCAGACATTTACCCCCGGATATCTACCCCCGGACATCTACCCCCGGAAATCTACCCCCGGATATCTACCCCCGGAAATCTACCCCCGGACATCTACCCCCAGACATCTACCCCCGGACATCTACCCCCAGTGGTTAAATCATAAATATCTGACCCCGGAATTCTACCCTCGGAAATCAACGGCTCTTTGGTTAGTCATTGTCTTGTAATATCCAGTATAAAGTATGCGATATGTCATTGTCTTGTTTAACATTATCTATCTTCCTAATTCAATAAGCTGTAACAGTCCTTTTTCACCCGACCTACTTCGCCGATTGTTACGATTGAGGGGTTTTTTTAAAGCTTAAGATCTTGCGAAGAGCAAAATGGTAATTAAAAAGGATATTTTGATTAGGGCTTCAAAAGGTTGACCCCTAAGCCTTTCATGTTAATTTTCTATCAGAAAGACGTTAAAAAAGCGTTAAAAACTATCTTTTTGATTGAAAATCCACAATTTTTAATTTTTCAACTTTTCATCTTTCACAGCTGTTCGTTATTTCATAGATGTCGTATTCTCCAAACAAATTATTAGTATTTCATAAATTACTGGTAAACATTAGGAGTAAACTTGACAAAAATGCAAAAAATTGGGGGTTTGAACAAAATTTATTTTAATTCAGAAGTAGTGAGGTCATCTTATATATTAAAAAAATTTGGTTTTTCTTTTCCGAGTTTGTTTGGCTCTTCTACCCGACCGATTTTCATGATTGAGGTCTCAAATTGAAGGTATGCACGCTCAGATTTGCCATCAAGCATCGGCATATATTTATCTATAATCCTACTCGGCTTATACGTAAAAGAAATTTGCTCCCCATGTTATTCTTATGGGAGTTAAATTTGGTTTATCTTTGCCGAGTTCGATTGGCTCTTCTACCCGACCGATTTTCATGATTGAGGTCTCAAATTGAAGGTATGCACGCACAGATTTGCCATCAAGCATCGGAATATAGTTATCTATAATTCCACGCGATTTCTACGTAAAAGAAATTTGCTCCCCAAGTTATTCTTATGGGAGTTACATTTGGTTTATCTTTGCCGAGTTCGATTGGCTCTTCTACCCGACCGATTTTCATGATTGAGGTCTCAAATTGAAGGTATGCACGCACAGATTTGCCATCAAGCATCGGAATATAGTTATCCTTTATTCCACGCGATTTCTACGTAAAATAAATTTGCTCCCCATGTTATTCTTATGGGAGTTACATTTAGTTTATCTTTGCCGAGTTCGATTGGCTCTTCTACCCGACCGATTTTCATGATTGAGGTCTCAAATTGAAGGTATGCACGCACAGATTTGCCATCAAGCTTCGGAATATAGTTATCTATAATCCTTCTCGGCTTATACGTAAAAGAAATTTGCTCCCCATGTTATTCTTATGGGTGTTAAATTTGGTTTATCTTTGCCGAGTTCGATTGGCTCTTCTACCCGACCGATTTTCATGATTGAGGTCTCAAATTGAAGGTATGCATGCACAGATTTGCCATCAAGCATCGGGGTATATTTATCTATAATCCTACTCGGCTTATAAGTAAAAGAAATTTGCTCCCCATGTTATTCTTATGGGAGTTAAATTTGGTTTATCTTTGCCGAGTTCGATTGGCTCTTCTACCCGACCGATTTTCATGATTGAGGTCTCAAATTGAAGTTATGCACGCACAGATTTGCCATCAAGCATCGGGATAAATGTATCTATAATCCCACGCGGATTATGCGTAAACGAAATTTGTTCCCCATGTATTTCTTATGGGAGTTAAATTTGGGGTTTCTTTGCCGAGTTCGTTTGGCTCTTCTACCCGACCGATTTTCATGATTGAGGTCTCGAATTGAAGGTATGCGCGTACAGTTTTGCCATCAAGCATCGGCATCAATGTATCTATAATTCCACGCGATTTCTACGTAAACGAAATTTGCTCCCCATGTATTTCTTATGTGAGTTAAATTTTGTTTCTCTTTGCCGAGTTCGTTTGGCTCATCTACCCGACCGATTTTCATGATTGAGGTCTCGAATTGAAGGTATGCACGCACAGATTTTCCATCAAGCATCGGCAAATATTTATCTATAACCCCACTTGGTTTATATGTTAAAAAAATTTCCTCTCCATGTATTTCTTATAGAAGTTAAATTTTGTTTCTCTTTTCCGAGTTCGTTTGGCTCTTCTAACCGACTGATTTTCAAGATTGAGGTCTCAAATTGAGGGTATGTACGCACAGATGTCCCATCAAGCATTGGCATATATGTAGCTACAGTCCAAACCCGGATTATACGTAAAATAAATTTGCTCTATTGGTAGTTAAATTTAGTTTTTCATTTCCCAGTTCGTTTGGCTCTTCTACTCGACCAATTTTCATGGTTGAATTTTCAAATTGAAGTTGTGCATGTCCAGATTTCACAACAAGCATCGGTTTAAGATACAATATAAAAAATACAAAAAAAAATAATTCCCGATCCCATAAACCAAGATTTGTATGACTTAGTTAGTAAGCACATGATGCATGGGCCGTGTGGTATATTAAATCCTTCCTGTGTATGTATGAAGGATGGAAAATGCAAAAAAGTTTTCCCTAAATCCTTTATTGAGGAAACGCAAGATAATGTTAATGGCTATCCGATTTACAAGCGTAGAAATAATGGGAGAACCATAACTAAACGTGCAACTGGAGACGATGTAAATGTTACAAATCGGTTCATTGTACCATACAATCCATTTCTTCTTCTATATTTCCGTGCACATATTAATGTAGAGCTCTGCTCCAGTGTACGATCTATAAAGTACATCCATAAGTATGTATATAAAGGTCACGATTGTTGCAATATAGAGGTAGCAAGGGGAAACGATGTACTTGATCACGATGAAATTAATTTATTCCTGAATGCTCGATATGTTGGACCAAGTGAAGCTGCTTGGAGAATGTTTGCATATTGCATGCACGATCAATCTCACGCTGTGGTTAGATTGCCAGTCCATTTACCTGATTCTCAGAATGTTTACTTCAGAAACGATGCACCGGAGGAAGGTTTAATCCAAGCACAGTTAAAAACTACCCAATTAGTAGCATGGTTCAAGTTGAACAGCAATCCTTCAACTAGAAGTCCTTATGTATATCCCGAAACACCAGTTCACTATGTATGGAAGAAAAATGAATGGCAAAAACGTAAACACTATTCTAGAACGATTGGCCGAATGTATAATGTTTCACCTGCGGATTCCGAGCGATATCATTTACGTATATTATTACTACATGTAATTGGTGATACCAGTTTTGAAGATTTGAAAACGTATGAAAATTTCACACATCCGGAAACTATAGATGAAATCCAACATGATGAACTAGCGAAAATGATCGCTTCATCAAATGAAGAACAACGTGTTGTGATTGATGAAATTCTAAACTTACTTCTAAACAATGATGAGTCTGCAAGTGTTAAGGCATACTTCATAGATGGACCTGGTGGCACCGGAAAAACATTTGTATATAAATGCTTAATCCAGAGCTGCATTAATATTGGAATGCCAATCATATCCGTTGCATGGACTGGGATTGCTGCTATGTTACTTCCCTTTGGCCGCACAGTTCATAGCCGATTTAACTTACCACTGAATTTGAATGAACATTCTGTCTCCGGCTTAAAAGTCAACAGTAAAGAGGCTTCTATCATTCGTTCTGCAAAATTAATAATTTGGGATGAAGCACCTATGGCCAACAAATATGCTCTAATGTGTGTCAACCGGCTACTGAAAGATATAATGGATAACGATGTGCCATTTGGTGGGAAAATCATTATCTTAGGTGGAGATTTCCGGCAAGTGTTGCCGGTTGTGCCTCATTCATCTAGAGCCTCTACTGTTCAGAATTCAATTAAGTTTTCATACCTATGGCCACTATTCAAAATGTTTAAATTAACAAAGAATATGAGGGCTAAAACTAATGAGTTAGATTTTGCTAACTTTTTGCTCGAAATTTGCAATGGGGAATACCCAACAATTGATGACAAATCTGTGGACTTACCCCCACCACTTATCTCTGATTCAGACATAGTTTCAGAAATTTATGGAAAAAACCTACGCCTATGGACTCATCGTACTTATCAAAATGTGCCATTTTAGCACCAAAGAATGAGCATTGTGAGGAAATCAATAAAAGAGTTTTAGACCTCATCCCAGGCTCAAGCAAAACATATATAAGTGTGAATAAACTAATTACAGATGATGACAGTGAACTATTGCAATTCCCTATTGAATTCCTCAACAGCCTTGAGATGACTGGTTTGCCTTCTTACAAATTAGTCTTAAAGGAAGGTGCCATTGTGATGTTATTAAGAAATTTAAACTACACAGCAGGTCTTCTAAACGGAACAAGACTTATTGTCAAGAAAATGTATGAAAACAGTTTAGACTTAGAAATCATAACTTGCACAAATATTGGACAACGTGCACTATTACCCCGCATTGATCTCTCTCCATCAGATCCTACAGTACCATTTTCTTTCAAACGAAGACAATTCCCCATAAAGGTTGCGTTCTGCATGACCATCAACAAGGCGCAGGGCTAAACGATTGATCGAGTTGGTGTGTACTTGCCTGAACCAGTATTTAGTCACGGTCAGTTGTACGTCGCCTTATCGAGAGGGAAATCTTTCGATACTGTAAAAGTAGAAACTAAATCAAAAGGTGGACGAACAGCAAACATTGTTTGGAAGGAAGTATTATAAAAGTCGTAATATTAATAAAGATTACCAGATGGAGGGAACTACTCCTGAGAATATGCGTACATGCAATTCTACCGACAGAGATGTCTATTTTACAAGAAATATTGTTGTTAATAAAACATTCTTAAAAAAGCCTCATTCATGCTGTGTTACATATGAGTTAACAAATGTACGTGCTTTCTCTGTAGGTGCTTTTAGGAAGTGTGTGGATATTGTTCTGGAGTAATTGATTTTCAAAACGGAAAAAAATACATCGGGACGATTTTCTCTGTGTTATATGGAATGTGTTATACTTTAATTTGGTCATAAGGCGAAATTAATCCAGCAGCCCTATAAGAGTTTAATTAAAGTTGTACCGCCCTTATTAAGTTTAGTATTTTATTTTTTTATTATTAATTTCAATGCTGCGGAGCAGCACGGGTCATCTAGTATTTTATTAAAACGTTTTTATTAGCTCGCTTTCTTATCCGGTACAAATTAGGCAATCTATTTTATACTAACTTCCCGATGAGCTAGAGACTTGAAACTTGAAACATAGCTCACAAATGGAAGACAATGCAATATTATATCATTTAATTTTCATATTTCCCTTGGGCTACGCCCCATGGGCTTGTTTTTATTAATTCGCTTTCTTGCAAATGTTGATACTTCCCGATAAGCTAGAGACTTGAAACTTGAATCATAGCTCACAAATGGATGGCAATGCAATATTGTATCATTTAATCTTCATATTTCCCTTGGGCTACGCCCCATGGGCTTGTTTTTATTAGCTCGCTTTCCTACAAATTTTTGTATCAATTTTAAACGAAGTTCCTGATGAGCTAGAGACTTGAAATTTGAAACATAGCTCACAAATGGATGACAATGCAACATAATGTCATTTAATTTCCATATTTCCCTTGGGCTATGCCCCATGGGCTTCCAAATTTTCCATGTTAACATTTTGAAAGAATGTAAATATATAAATTCATTTAAGTCAGCTGTAAATACTTTAATTTGACAGTTCGAAGAGCAGAGGTTAAGAGGTACAGGTTATGCTCCCAAGAGATTCTTTATACAAACAAACCTTTCAAAATAAAGATAAACGAGGTGTAAGCCCGTCCTACGTACGGGAGTAGTCAGTTAAAACTGTGTATAAATCAGAACAGCTAGCTTACACGTATAAAGACAAATTTTATAGCAGCCTACAGTAGAAAGAGTAATTATCAATTGAGATTGAGAAGGTGTATAGGCCTAGTCAACGATATCACCTTCCAATTCCATCGCATACCTGCCAACCTGCCTCTTCCATAATCAATATCAACACAATACAATTACTCATACTATACACAATTTCCAGTAGGTCTGAATAGAAACTCCCGAAAAAAAAAAAAACGAAAACATCCAATGAAATTCACAGTACACATAATTATAACGTTGGTGTCCTGACATCATTAAACGAATCGTCCAAACATATCCTTTATATCAATTTCACTGCATCAAATTGCTAAATAAATAAGTGTAAACAAAGAAAAGTAAAAACAACAACATATAGTTTGTTTTGGTAAACAGCTGAGTCAAAAATAAAATACAAAACAAACAAAATAAACAAACCAAGATGAATTAGATCGTGTAAAAATGGATTTTCCTACCTTTTCCTAAAAAGTTGAGCAGTATAATAATTTGCATATCCTTTTTTACAATAAATTAAATAGATTGATATATTTATAGTTAGTAGGTAGGCCATACATTCAATCTAATACATAATTATATGAAAAGAAACTCAAATAAACCTTAGATTTCCCACATGCCTCTGTCTTAAACTGATATAAATGCTTGAAATAGATTTAACATCCACACACATTAAAACCAAAAAGGAGAAAATAATTTATAAACAAAAAACTGTTTTCAAAACAAAACGTTTTTAAACGCACTAAAAAGTATAAAGTAATTTTTAAATTACGTGGAGAGTATAAATACTTGTAAGATTTAAAACGAAAAACGTGGGGTGCATGCAATTTATAATAATACATTAGTTCAATAGGTGAAGGTAATTGTAAATAATCTATTGCATGCACCCCACGTTTTTCGTTTTACATCTTGCAAGTATTTATACTCTCCACATAATTTAAAAATTATTTTATACTTTTTTAGTGCGTTTAAAAACGTTTTGTTTTAAAAACAGTTTTTTGTTTATAAATTATTAATGGCTTAAGACACTCGTGTCAATCCACCGAATCCAAAAAGACTATTTAAATCGAATCACGATCGATGCTCTAGTTTTTGAGGAGGAGTAAAATGCCTTCTGGACCTTGACAGACAAGACAGAAATTGAGATAAAGACTTGTTTTGGCTTCTTTAATGTATGAAACGTAAAAATGACCAAAAAATATATAATTTTGAATTGAGCTTAATGAATTGGGAAGATAGATGACATTAAACAAGACAACGACATATCACATGCTTAATACTAGATATTATAGGGTAATTATTAAACGAAGAGCCATTGATTATTTTTATACACCAATTACTAAAATCAACTACAACAATGAATATTGGCCGATACGTAGTGTAGCACGGGGGGTAGATTTCCGGGGGTAGAATTCTGGGGTCGGGCATTTATGATTTGACCACTGGGGGTACATTTCTGGGGGTAGATTTCCGGGGGTAGATGTCTGGGGGTAAATGTCCGGGGGTAGATGTCCGGGGGTAGATGTCCGGGGGTAGATGTCTGGGGGTAGATGTCCGGGGGTAGATGTCTGGGGGTAGATTTCCGGGGGTAAAGATCCGGTGTCAGGTTTATTAGCATTTTAATTAATTACAACTGTTAAGTTAACCGTGAAATGCGAGTTGATTGAATAAATAATAATTTATCCATCCTAAAAGTTCGCGGCCGGAAATCTACCCCCATACATGTGACGTCAAAGTGACGTAGGCGTTTTTTCATGGGGGTAAATATCCGGGGGTAGAAATCCGGCGACCCAAATTTGCCAAATTTGAAATTTGATCTGGGGCTTAGTTTTTTCCTCCCAAGGCCTAAACTTAAATTTTACACCATACACAAGTGTTCTTTTTTAAGCTCTACACAGTGGCTATAATTATAGCATTTCCATGTTTAAATTCATGCTAAATTTCAATAATTTCATTAAAGTCGGACCAAAATTACTTGAGTTGTTCATATAAAAACATCTATAAAAATTTGAACGAATAGTGTTTTTGTTGTCTGGCGACATCAAAATGAAAAAGTAAATTTATCTCGAGTATTGGTCGTTTTGTGCCGCCTGCGGTAACACCTTCTTCCCTGCAGGGAAATCCGCTAAAACCACTTAAGTTACGACTCCTTGCATTACTTTGATCTTTTCCATGATTTTATGTCACCTAACTATTCTGGACCCAGTTTGGGGTTATCAAGGTTTGTTACAGATAATGCAGTCTAAATGTGCAACCTTTACATCTACCTTAGGACTTCATATTTTGGTATCTTACTATTTTTGGGAGTCTCCCCTTAGGGATAGTTAGTGTACCGTGTTCGACATAAGTATACTTAGGTGTAGGTTCAAGACCACACTTTCACAAGTTCAGGACCCTTTGAAGCCAGAATAAACGTTTTTATGTTACTCTCAGGTAATAATGGTTTAATTTTTGCTTAAAAAAGTAACTTTATATTGAATACTCACTGTTTCTGGAACATTTAACTTGTCACTTGTTTTACTGCAATTTGTGTCTTCTGTGGATTTTTTCGTCATCAATGGATTAGCAGGTGTTGTATTATTTGATTTGCTAGCATTAATGATTGAGAACTGTATCTTTTTAGGTTTTACTTTTGTAGTCACATTTTCATTAACACTCTTGACCTAAAACAACTCCAATGAATTAAAACTCATTCCAACACAGAAAAACCTGCCAATTAAGTTCTGGTTGTCTCTTTACATTTTTGATATGGCAATAATAGATAGGTATAGAATCATTATGCAATATACTAGATTGCTATTTGGAGGAAAAATCTCAAAAAAATGTCGACTTAAAAGTAAATAATTTTTTTAAAAACTATTATTTTTAACTAATTATTATTATTAGCTAACTATTATTTAAATTATTTTTTTCTAAACCACTTACCCCCCCCCCCTTCCATACTCATTGTACAATAGCTGGTTTGAAAATTTACTTACATTAGAGAGTCGACTATCCAAAACAATTGTGGATTGGGAGTGTAATAGATTTAATTATTTGTAATAAGTCATTGACAGTAAAAATGAAATGCATCATGTTAACTTTGGTTGATAGCATTTTAAAAGTTTTTTAAGGGCAGTCCGACCCCCATAAGAGCGTAATGTTAACTTAAGTACCTATATCTCAGAAACGGTAATAGATAGAGTCCTGATTTTTGTGTGGGTTATTTAATAGATTATAAACTAGCTCCCTGCATGGAATTTTTAAATTTTAGAAAAAATTAAAAAAGTTACGACGTTTAAAAAAAAAAACTGTTTTTTAACTACGGTTTTTAAGTTTATTTTTTTTATTTTGCCTCATAACTTTAAGATATGTATAAATACCCACGTGAGGAACTAGAAAATAGTATGTAAAATATTGTGTAAAAGTTTGACTGAGGTAGGCCAAGTAGTTTTTGAGTTATGGGTACTCAAAGTTCAAAAAATGCAAGTTTCGGAAAATCGAGGAAAAGCGATAAGATTGCATGTTTCATTCACTGCTGCCCTAAGGGCCAAAAAGCCATTGCAAGCTTTTTTTCATAATTTATTTATACGAAGTTAATATTAGATAGGTGGCATGTGTTATATATCATTTTAAAGAGGAAAAAATGAAGATTAATAATACATAAAAAAATTAAAATGCAAAAAAAAAAATTTTTTTCAAGTCAGACTGCCCTTAAGTTTATTTTTTACTGGTTTTGTTTGTCTCCTGCGATTGTAGCAAGAATGTTGAGCTTATCTTCCGGTCTCGTCGACAGCAGTGATCGTCTCCCGCAATCACGGCAAAACTAGTGATCGGCCTTTTTTTGGTTAGCTGACGTTTCGGATAACCTGGCTTTGGATAATCAACGCTTTACTGTAAATAGATGTTGGTTCACACATTAAATTGGTTCTATTTCTTTTAATATGTTTACTACCCATTTAATTGAATCAACTAACTGCATTAATACATTTTGTAAATATTTCAATATGACATTATTACCAAAGAAAATATGTCAATTACCTCTATTTGACTATGCTTCTGTGGCCTGAACGTCAAAGCATTGCGCATTTCAGGTGTGCTAGTTAAAGTAGCTGGGGGTCGGAGATGAGGTGGTGTAGTTGGGGGAGGATTTCTGAGAGGAGGAGGAACATTTACGTTGGGTAAGCAAAATATTTTGGGTTGAGGGGGGGCAGGCTTAGCAAATTGGAAATCAGGAACAGTTGGCCGTGTTAAATTAGAAGACAAGTGAATTAAATTAGGTCTAGTCAAGTTAGTACCGTACAAGGTTGAGCTTGGTTGTACGGTTTGAGTAATCAACTGAGGCGCAGCTTCATACACAACTTTTGGCCCTAACAGTGGTAAAATTGGGGCCTGATTTACTTGGGATGAAATATTGTATACTCCTAGAGGATTTACTGGATTTACTGCAATGGTAGTATTAACTGCAGGAGTAAAGTTATCGGAAACTGAACTAGTTTGGGTTTGTGCAGGAGCTACAGTTTGTAAATATAAATTTGGATTGCCAGACGGTAAAGAAATGGTGGATGAAAAATCTGGCAAAGGAACTGGCAAAGGTAAGACAGAGGGTATTGAATCGGGTGCTAGCGACAGAGACGAGCCAGTGTAAGCTGAAAGCTCCACAGCAATCGGTTGACTCTGAGAGCTGAATCGTTTCAACTCTTCACCAACGGTTTGTATGAGGTTAGCTGCAATTTCTTTAGCTTGATTCAACCCTTGACAGTCTGTGTGCCTGGAAAAAATTATGATAATTAAGTATTATAGAAAATTAAATGTTTATTCTTTACACAAAGTTTACAAAACATATTACGTATTACATACAGGTAACAAATTTATGTTGTTAATTTTCAAAATCTCTAACAAATAGTTCGACAATAGGTAAAAAATCAGTCAAATAAGAGGCGCAGATATTTTGACTTTTAAGTAACTATTTCACCTGTCTTTATGCAAACTGTTTACAAAAGCTACAAATTTTGTCATTATAAAAAAGACAGTTTTCAAAAAAAAGGAGGAAACAGTCTTCTTTTACCTTCAATTTCCCTGTCCACATGAGTATCCAAGACATTTAAGTTGCACGTACTAAGCAATGCAAGGGGTGAGCCAGTACAGAATGAGCTGTACTGATAATTTAAAGTGGCAGCATCAAGACGCAAGCCCAAGACATTGCTGCCTTGGTCTCACAGTCTGTAGTGCCACCAGCTCACCCCTGTGCAGTAAACCACCATACAAAGTAACATCCCGGTTCCATACAAGATTCTGGCTCAATTCACAAATTGTTTTCCCACTTTTTTTCTTATTTACATTAATGATCTTCCAAAAGTTATTAATAAATAATTAATTCTTTTTGCCGATGACACTACTGCTTTGATCAAAAATAATAATACAACTGAAATGTTTTCTTCTCTGCAAAGTGTGGTAAAGGATATGGAGCAATGGTTTTTAGAAAATGGGTTAAACTTAATGTTGAAAAAACAAATATTATTAAATAAATTTTCTACTAGACATAAAAATATGGAAAACTGTTATTTTAATTTAGTTGAAGCTCATAAATTCTTAGGGGTTTACATAGATAACGCAGTTAAATAGGATTCACATTTGAATTATTTACATAACAAAATTAGGTCGATATCCATCATCTTTATTTGTCATACATTTAAGGGACTATGTTTCTATTGAGACACTTAAAGTAGTTTATCATGCTTATGTGGAGTCTGTGTTAAGATATAGCATAATTTTATGGGGTCAAGTTACTGGTATTAAAACTTTATTCAGGTTAAAAAAACGTATTATTCGCATTATCACCAACTCTCATCCACGCAGTTCTTGTAAACATTTTCAAAATTTAAGAATTCAGACATTAACGGGGTTGTATATTCTAGAATTATTAAATTACATACATTCAGTTAAAAATGAGCTACCAGAAACAATATATTTTAACCACAGGTATGAAACCCGAAATGAAAATATATTTAGACTCCCCAGACACCGTTTGACCCTATATGAAAAATCTCCATTGTATGCTGGGCTGAGATTGTACAATGTGCTTCCGCCATGCTATCAGTCATTAAGCAAAACCAAATTTAAAGAGACAATAGATAATTTACTTATTGACAAGGCTTTTTACTTAATTGAAGATTTTTACAGAACTACAATTTAGAAAATTTTTTTAATTTTTTAATTTTAAGTGAAGTTTTAATGTTAAATATTTTATGTATGGATTTAATTTTTGACAATGCACCTATTCTAAATGTTATGACAAGTATGGTATGTTTTGTGCAAATAAAGTATGTCTATGTCTATGTCCAGTTATCAGAATTCACGTTTAATTCCCCAATTTCTTGGTTATTCTATCAGCTAGTCACTGTGGTTGGTATTTCAGAACACTTGTGTTATGTTTTGAATTTGAATCCAGTCACTTTTTTTCTCCAACAGGTGGTTCGGATTAGCAAGCCAGAAGTTTGGTTTGGTGGAGTTTGGATTAGCGGGACTTGGGTGTATAAACAGTCAAGCTGTTGTGCATTCCATAAGAAAATTAGCCTTCTTTGATGTAACAAAACTTGAATTTAACTGATTTAGTTATAGACTTTAACTAAAAGATAAAAAACAAAGACATGTTGGCCTGGATAGTAACAGAAAGTTTGATTTTCACACATAATTTTGCATCAGCATTTTGCATACTAAAATAAACTAATGCAGGTACGTGTCATTAGTTCACCGTATTGTCCATACTAAATAACAAACTAGGATCTTGGCGTGGCTGACAAAACTCGGTGAGAGAAATATATTGAAGATTATGAAGATCTGGTGACAGTTGGTTGTTGCAATGTTTTTTTTTCATCTTGTCTGTTCCTCTTTGCAACACTAGTAGAGCGAAGGCACAAGCCACAAATCATATTTTATGAAGACAGTCAGACCAATGGCAATCCAGAGTAAAAATGGCTACCTACCTAAAACAGATGATAGGCACACCATACAAAATAATGAACCAATTAAATTTTTAACAACAGATTGTTTACACTGAAGCATACCGAATGTTTACTGACACATCTTTTAAAACAAATCAACAATGAAAAACAATACATTTATGTAAAGAATTCTTAGTTTTAAGTTTAATCCTAGAATAATTTGAAATTTGTTCTACTATTTTCTCCTCTGAAGCAATCTGGTAAAAGAAAAAGATAGAACTGGAGCACTTCTGTAAGTAGGCTCGAGTTGTATAGTAGGATGACCGTAGATCCTGGTACTGTAGTGCTGTGACGATATCTACTCAGCTGGACGTGTACAGCCGAACCTAGATATCTTTTGATGTTGACTTTCGACGAGAATTTCAACAGTTTGCAGGCTACTCAGCAGGTGTCAGCAGATGGATGACCTTGCGAGAATCTTAAACATACTTTTAATATTCTTGTTACACAATAAAACTACACAATATTTCCATCTCGACATGCTATAGATTTCACATGTAGAAAAAACACTTACCGTATCAGGAGATGTAAAGGTGTTGCTGCCTCCTGGTCAGAGTTGATCTCCAGGTAGCCGCTACTCTTGCCTCGGAGAGTGACCTCGGCACCAGTGATGTCCATGATGTATTGCAGATTAGCCCCGTTGTCACCCACAATGTGTTTGTTCAAGTCAAAGTCGCTGGGAATTGTTGATAATCCCAAAAACATCTTGTACTGTGAGCAATTTTACACATTTCTTACAATTCTCTGGGATACAAGAAAAACTGCAGGCAAAAAAAGTAAAACAGCAAAAGATGTTAAAAAATATGTTTTTATAAGGTGAATAAAAAACAGAATCAAGAAAACTAGAATTAAAACCTGAATTAAGAATTATTAAAATTTTTTTCTTTCCTTATTTTCATCATGTATATGTAGAAAGTAGGCCTATGAGCTTAATTAGACCAAATGGATTCTAAAAGCAGACAGAACGTTTGATACTAACCACTAAGACATCTTTATCCTCTTCTCCTTCGGCGATTAGCTTAGTTATATACTTGAGAGCGACTGGAACAATAAGAAAATTGATTTATTACAATATTTAAGAAAATTTAGCAAAATAGATTTGATTTCAATTTCTTACCTTGGAAGTCAAAGTTCTTTATGTGGTGTGGTAGAATAAAATCCATTTTGTAGTTGCAGATCACTAGACGATGGTGAGGTGATAACTGATGATAGTTGGAATTGACACTGATGACGACTAAGGTATCCTATAACTCTTTTAACAACACATGATAAACAGATAAGTAGAAATAAATAAGTACATACATAGTCAGTGTTACTTTACTTGTTTACTTTAATCCTGTAGGTCTGCAACTAGTGTTTTCATCTGCTTTATTTCTCTCCAGCTCTTGCCTTCTGCCTGTAATTCTTTCTCAACTGATCTCCCCTAAGGTAAACGCACCAGTAGCTGACAGTATAAGAAACTATACGCACTTAATAATCCGTGGTTTTGAATAAATAGGAACTAAAGAGATATTACGGATTTTATGTGATTCTAAATTTAGTGTAGTTTTCAAATTTGTCATACAAAAAGGGTTTTTTAAATATATTTTATAACATTTTTAAACTTAATTCAACCTTTGTACGTGTTCCAGTGGCTGACAGTGAAAAAAGTGCTTGTACCAGTAGCTGACAGTCAGTTGTCCCAGTAGCTGACACTGGAACTATACATGTACTAGCTGCTAAACCTAAGGGTTTTATAATTTATAAGACGAATAAAATCTAACTTAATAATTAAATTATAAAACCATGTAAAACGTTATTACTAAAATTTATTTTACATATTTAAAAATAAAAAATATTTACATAAAAAAATATATACAGGGTGACAAAAAAGTCTGGAAACGGCTTGATATCTTTTTAAAGAGATTCGTTAGAAAATTCAAACTTTTCACATCAACTTATATGTATGACAACTACTTTTTGCAAGCATTACTATTTTTTGACCTCCACCAGGGGACGGCCCATGAGGAGTAGGCACATAATCTTTAATATAAGCATAGGTTGATATGCACGTCATTTTAAAGGTCTGGTCAAGTGGAGTTCATTGCCGGAAACCGCGTTTAAAAAGGTTCATCCGTTACAAAATGGCGGCAGTCCAAAGTTCTTGCGGAATACCAGCAGAGGCCTTAGAATTGGTAAATACTCAAATTCAAAATTAGCCGGGAAATCTGAAACCCGTTTAAATTTGTTTTGAAGATTGAATAATATTAGTCTATGAGCTAGTTGACTTTAAAAGTTTCAGCTCTCAAGCTAATGTTTAATACAAGTATTTACCAATAGTAAGGCCTGTGCAGGTATATTCAACAAGAACTTTGGACAACCGCCATTTTGTAACGGGTAAACCTTTTTTGACGCGGTTTCCGGCAATGAACTCCACTTGACCAGACCTTTAAAATGATGTGCATATCAACCTATGCTTACATTAAAGATTATTTACCTACTCCTCATGGGTCGTCCCCTGGTAGAGGTAAAAAAATGATAATTCTTGGAAAAAGTAGTTTTTATACATGTGAGTTGATGTGAAAGGTTTGAATTATCTAACGGACTTAGTTAAAAAGATATTAAACCGTTTCCAGACTTTTTTGTCACCCTGTATATATTTTTTATTTATATTAAAAACATATATACATTTTTTTAGATAATTTGGCTTGTTAATTAAAAAATTAAAATCATTTTATAAAAATGTGAGATCACATAAATTATAAATAGCATGCAAATTTCGATGGGTAAAACCAATTTAATATTGTGCAAGTAGCAAATATCCCCTGTCAGCTATTGGAACTTGTATGGCTTTTGTGTACCAAAGCCTGACATTGATATAATTTTTAATCCAAAACCCCTAACACCCCAATTTTATCATGAAATTGTCAACAAAGGTATAATTGATAAAAATAATGAGCCTAATCATTAATACTATTTAAGAAATTTAGCGAAATGACAAAAAACTAAACTAACTTTCTTAACAATTTCATTAAGGGAATCGACTAAATGTGATGTGTACGGACAGGGTCGCTTTCAAACCACCACCATTCCGCAAGTATGGGCTAAATTTAACTGATTTTTTTTGTAAACTAATCAAGAATAAACATATGTTCTTCTAACAATGCAATCATGTGTAAATATTTTTAAGAGACCACATTATAATGTAAAGAAACTCAAACTGTCAGCTACTGGAGCACTGTCAGCTACTGGTGCGTTTACCTTATGTTATTTTGGCTTTTCACTTTTCCTGCTTCCTCCAGTTTCCAGTCAAGAGCTTGCCACCTAATATAGCTGTAACCCTTACTTAAGGTGAAGCCTAGCCACTAGTAATATTTTTAATAGGGTTCCTTATGGCTCTCCTACTCCTTGTTTCTGACTGTGTCTGATCATTCGATTTTAATGATTCAGGGACATATAATTACAAACATATCTGGATTATTTTTGTATAAAAATACAGACAGAGTACAGACGTGGCATTACTTCTGAATTCCTTGGTTTAGAGCTCCTTCTCAGATGGTTTGATTACCAGAATATTGTCAGCAGATGAAAATCCCAGCAAAAGTCCCTTTGCATTCCTAAACCATTTTTCATTTAATTCCTTAAATTTGTCTGTTTTCATTATTGAGCCACGATGCACAAGCCCGTTAAACACACTGGACCCTTAATCTAACCTAACCAAGTTTGGTCCTGGAGGTAAAAAAGAAGAAAATAACGTCAAGAAAATTCAATTTAATGTTTAATACTGGTCATCATCACATTATTTGAAATTCTTCAATATAATTTAAGGTGCACAGTGATAGGCCTATAAAATCAATCTGTGAATATAAATTGGCCTTGAGTAAGTTAGAGCTCTGATAAATTATTGGTTGTTTTAAACAGTTAAAACATTTTTATTTTTTACTGGACCGGAACGTTAGTTATACAGGATTATTGAAAATTTTCATGACACCAAATTTATGCCTGAATAAAATACAAAAGAACACTAATTTTGAAGTTAACAATAAGTAAATACAAGGTAACATTGGGTAAATCAGATCTTAAATTTCAAATGAGGGGGGCCGAAAGAGAATTTTCAGGGTTTCCACACTATTTGTCTTAAAAAAATTCACGGTTCTCACGGTCTGCTTTTATAAATTTCACGGTCTCCAAACAATGTAAGTTATAATGACAAAACTTTATGTAATGCCTTTTTAACCAGTAAACAAGTAAGATACAGTTTAAAATACGAGTTTAAATAAAGTTTTAAGTTTAAAACACAGTTTAAAATTAAGTTAACATGTTTCTTTTGTTTGTTGATGTAAGTTGTTTTGTATATTCGCTTCACTACAATGTAATCAATTGTTTTCGTGATATGTTTATCACTAGAACAAATTCACAAAGGTAAAACAAGGCAGGCTCGAGGTTAAAAGTCCGCACACGGTAGTCAGCGGCGGTAGCAGCAGATGTCGATGTAGCATGGCCTTTAGGATTGATTTTAACTTGACTGAAGTAGATTAGAACAGTTAAGGATGGACCGAAGATGTCCCATACACTTTTAAATTTGTCTATTGCAGCTATGGAGTAAAACAGAATACTGAATGCAGATGAGACTGGATTTGAATTTGAGCGAGTGGAGAGTTCACTATTGTTGATTAGTTGATGGGCTCTATTAAAGTAGAATTAAACAACCTGGTGTATGGTCCTAGTTCCACAGGTGAGAAGCTGCGATGTGGTTAGTTGGCCTTGGTGGGGAGTGTGGTGGTCACCTCGGTCTGCTCTCAGTACGGCCTCATGATTGGTCTCTGCTCAGGCTAGTGTTGGTCGGAGCCATGAGTCCCAACATAATAGCAGTTTTAACGAAGACATGATTAAATTCGCCAGCTTTTAACTTTGACTAACATAATAACTTTAAATGAAGAAAATTTTGTAACAAAACAGACAACAAACAACAGATAAGCTGGTGATCACTGTGTTGATGAACCAACGACTGGCCTCGTCGCCACACCACCAAGGAGGTAAAAAAACCGGAAACAGCTCTGTCCAATCTGTGGGAATTCTAGAGCCTTCTATAAAGTCACCGGTCTTCAAATAAACCAGGTGCGCTTCTGCCCAAAAAAACATATACATTTAATGCCGAAGACATGAGCTGCCAACTCGCACATCTAAGTTGTCAGCGTGGATGTCTTCCAGTCACTCCACTCACCATTGTATGCCTCTAGTGCTCCGTGTCACTCTTCTTATTACTCGTATACCATGAGGGTTGATGGATGACAGTGGTAACCCTGCCTTTCTCCTGTCTTTGAAAGGTTTCTTATAATAGATCTTTATGTATTATCGTAATCGTCATAAATCATCTTGCTTATCTAGACTGGGAGGACGATAAACATTTCTGGTGACACGCATCAGCAGTTTACTGGCATGGTGCCATAGGCAAGTCCATAGATAGTTGAGTTATTTTATACTGGAATCACATCTGGAAACATAATTTTCAAACCTTTCTTTCCATAAAACCATTGATTTACTTTGAACATATTATTCTACAATGCATACTCTTTGAGCTTGCAAAAACACCACGTTGAGTCTTATCTTTGACTATTAATACCAGGTCAATGGTACACAAGAGTAAACAACCTTGTAAACAGCAATGTTACAATACATATCAGCTGTTTGGCAATGAAGTAAAAAAACAGGGATACCAAATTATGAGCTAGTTTTGTCCCTACAGTGTTCTAACAGTGTTCTCAGTACAATACTTGTAATTTGGGTTGAGTTTAGAAAGAAAATCACTAAAAACAAATTATGTTTTGCTACTCACGTTCAAGAGACTGCTGAGAGGGTCCATTGATGTGAAGATGGAGAGGTCTAATTGAAGTAATTTCGGACTTGGACATGTCGGTCCAGGAAGAAATATATTGCCCTCCAATGTTGACGGTTGCTCCTGAAATGTATCAACTTAGTTCCACGAAGATTTAACACTCAGGATAAGATACAGTTTGTAAAAATACACTTACAACAAATTTGTTTATACATTTATATTCACAATTATCATAACATCTTTATAATCTGATTCTAGAACTACTCTAACAAGTACCTAACTATAGCAAAAAAATAATGCATTTCCAAGGTAAAAATCATTTTCTTACCAGAAAATTTCTCCACAATGTTTTCCAGACATATGTGTCTTGTTAAATAATCCTTGGTGAATTTAGGCAGTTGGTTAATTTCAAATTCCACTGTATATCGTCCAAAAGATGCAGCTGTGGAGGATTTCTGAAAAAAAAGATTTAGAATTAATTGTAATAAATTAACTTTTAAAATAAAACAATTAATATTACTAACCTTACCACCAACTTCAAAAAATTTATTCTACCTTTTTGGTTTTTTATAAGTAGACGAAAATGTGCCATTTGTTGGACAACCTCTTCATAAAATGATACCTCCTGTTGTCAACCATGTGATAACATTTTCATTCGGCTTTTTATTGATGTTGAAGCGCTGACCACCAAGAAAAATTTTCATATATAAATTCCCTTAGAGCGAGTTAAATGCAGAACGCAGAATTGTCAAAAACGTCCCAATAAAAGTCCTCAGGACCTATTTGTCACATTGGCGGTATGGGGTCGGGAATTATCAAAAATATAAACCACACCTTTCCGAACATTCTTCACCGTGTGTTCAAGCATAAAAAAATAAACTTCTGTATTGTTTCCCTTTGCGACAAAAAATCTGTTAGTATAATACTTTGTCTGTTCCCAAACACTACGCGGTTTTACTGAAATTTGCTCATGAATAAAGACCTTATTAACTTTTATTGGTGACGAAGTTTGGTTTTAGGGGTATTATAAGCAATCAAAGTTTCATATCCTGAGATAATCTGCAATAAAAATGTTTCACCATCATGTAAAAAAATCAAGTGCGCTGACCATCAATTTTTGTTCGTACCATTCAGTAGGTATTCAACAAACGCAAAGTTGTTACTTACAGTCTCATGAATTACTGTCCGTGAAAATTAAGAAAATTCAAGAGCAACATCATTAGTTTTAAGCTAATGGGTGTCTTCAATCTTCTGATTTACTATACAAACCAGTTTAACATTAACTTTAGATGGATGTTCACCTGTTTCCTTCAATGTTCAATCCCTTATTCGTACTGTTAAACTCATCTTCTCACCATTAAACCGCTCATCACATTTCTCCACAACCTTTATTGGCGATGAATATCAACTGGTTTCTTGCATTCAAAAACAGAATTACAGACCTAACTTCACAATCCACAGGATTTCCTTATTAACACAGCCATAATGGGGAGCAAGCTGGTCTAGTGGTAAAGCGCTGCAGCAGGAGACTTCGGTTCCTGAGATCCCGGGATCAAATCACGCCAATGACTAATGGATTTTATCCAAGTGATAATGCTGTAATCCTGTAAAAAAATTATCCTAGGCTAGAGCCTAGCATAAAAAATAATTAAAAAATATCACAGCCATTAGAAAGAAGCTTTACGAAGTGAGTATACACAAAGCAAGCTTGACTCACAGTCGCATGTGTGAGACTTTGATCCCCACATTACCATGGAGAGAAATTTACACAGAACTTATTTTCTGAAAGTACCTTGTATATTTTTTTTCAGGATTCTTCAAACTTACTAATATGTCCTCTGTGTTCAGGGTAGAATTGACAGTGAACTTTTGGGCTGTGCTCGTATCATCTGTCTTGTCCATGGTAGGGACGGTGAGAGGGGGAGGGGACTCACAGCCTGGGGGAGGAGGGAGCCGATCTTTCCAAACAGGATCGTCTGCTAACGGCTGTCTATACTCTTCTTTGGCATCAGTTTTAATGGACCAAGGCATCAATACCTGAGAACATTTTACATAAATTACCACACATACGTAGTTGTATTTTAGACAAAAATAAAAATGCATTTTATTAACAACTACTACAGGCGACGGATATTTTTTGGCATTGAAGGATGGTTGAAGATATAAAAATACTAATAATAGTTAGGCAGACATAATGGTTGTAGTCTTTTACATGTATAGACGAGATAGTTGGTGCTTATAATAATTATAATACCTGATTTGCACTATTTTGACGTTATGACCTTGTACGAGAAATATCTCATAACAATATTGCTTGGTCAGAAATATTGTCCAAAAATAATTACTCAATAAATTTTTCTTCTTGATTATAGCTCTTTGTTATATTTTTTTATGACGGATTGACAAATATATCTATAATCATCCATTCATTATATTCACGGATAGAAAGGCAAATATATCCACACTATTTTTTGGGAGTAAATGATTATTCATGCAATAAGAAATTAATAGTTATGCATATTTGGAGTAGAATGTATAAACAAGTTACAGAAATTAGAACATTTTTTTCATTTTACAAGCTTTAGGCCGTTGTAGGCCCGAGGCTCATGTGTTTAGGTAAAGTTTAAATTTGTGGATCTTCCATTTATCTGCACCTAATGTTTCATTGGTAAGATAGCAAATCAAGGAGCCTGCATTTGTTATTTATAACCCCTAACAATCAAATAGCACAAAGACCAATAAATAAATAATATAGGCTATAACAACATTTATTTTTCTACCAAAATGTAATCTGTTATTAAAATCATTAAAATTTTAAAGTTACTGATTTAAGTCTTACCTCAAATTTATTTTCCCGTTTGTTGTCCTCTTCATCTGAAACATCCATTGCTTCTATTTCAGACTGTTTATATTCACAGTCTGAAGATTCTCCATTGTCAGTTTGTTCCTGACCAACAGTTGGAGATTCCAAAGTTTCTGTTGGATTATTGTTTTTAATTTCCTTGCATATCTTCCAAGTCTCGATTGTATCCTCAAAGGAATTCAACATGTCTTCATGATCAGTACTACAACTACCTTCGTTCTGGTATTCATCTGATGTATCCAGCATTTCAATTTTACTGGTGGATAGCTGTTCTTCCTCTGCCTTTATATCTGATTTTTTTGTTTCAAAGTTTTTGTCAGGATCAATCACAGAAGGTTCTATTATTTCTTCCTTTTTGAAATCAGAGTCAAGAAAATCTGATTTGATAGCTTGATTTGGAGGTTTCAATAATTCACATTGTGTTGTTATCAACTTCCCGTCCGTGTTATCAACGACAGCTGTAATCTGACCTTTGTCTAGATTGGTTTCTTCTGTATTATCTACGACAGCCATGGTTTGGTCATTATTATAATCAGTGTTATCAACAAGAGCGGTAGCCTGAACTTTGTCTTTATTGGTTTCATCTGAATTATCTACGACAGCCATGGTTTGGTCATTATTAGAATCAGTGTTTTCAACAACAGCAGTAGCCTGAACTTTTTCACAATCAGTTTCTTCTTTATTATCTATGGCTGCCCTGCTATAGTCATTATTAGAATCCGTGTTATCAACAACAGCTGTAGCCCAAACTTTATCTTGATTGGTTTCCTCATTATTATCTATGACTTCACTGGTATGGTCATTATTAGAGTCAGTGTTATCAACAACAGCGGTAGCCTGAACTTTGTCATTATTGGTTTCTTCTGTATTATCTATGACTGCCTTGGTATGGTCATTATTGGAATCAGTATTATCAACAACAACGGTAGCCTGAACTTTGTCTTGATTGGTTTCTTCATTATTATCTACGACAGACATGGTATGGTCATTATTAGAATCAGTGTTTTCAACAACAGCGGTAGCCTGAACTTTTTCACAGTCAGTTTCTTCATTGTCATCTATGGCTGCCCTGCTATAGTCATTATTAGAATCAGTGTTATCAACAACAGCGGTAGCCTGAACTTTGTCTTGATTGGTTTCTTCATTATTATCTACGACAGACATGGTATGGTCATTATTAGAATCAGTGTTATCAACAACAGCGGTAGCCTGAGCTTTGTCTTGATTGGTTTCCTCATTATTATCTATGATGACTGCCTTGATATGGTCATTATTAGAATCAGTGTTATCAACAACAGCTGTAGCCAGAACTTTGTCTTGATTGGTTTCTTCATTATTATCTATGGCTGCCCTGCTATAGTCATTATTAGAATCAGTGTTATCAACAACAGCTGTAACCCAAACTTTATCTTGATTGGTTTCCTCATTATTATCTATAACTTCACTGGTATGGTCATTATTAGAGTCAGTGTTATCAACAACAGCTGTAGCCAGAACTTTGTCTTGATTGGTTTCTTCATTATTATCTATGACTGCCTTGATATGGTCATTATTAGAATCAGTGTTGTCAACAACAGCGGTAGCCTGAGCTTTATCTTCATTATTATCTAGGACTGCGTTGGTATAGTCATGATTAGAATCAGTGTTTTCAAAAACAGCAGTAGCCTGAGCTTTGTCTTGATTGGTTTCTTCATTATTATCTATAACTGTCTTGGTCAGGTCATTATTAGGATTAGTGTTATCAACCCCAGCGGTAGCTTGAGCTTTGTCTTGATTGGTTTCTTCATTATTATCTAAGACTGAGATGCTATAGTCATTTGAATCAGTGTTATCAAAAACAGCAGTAGCCTGAGCATTGTCTTGATTGGTTTCTTCATTATTGTCTATGACTGCCTTGGTATGGTCATTATTAGAATCAGTGTTATCAACAACATCTGCATCCTGAACTTTGTCTTGATTGGTTTCTTCATTATTATCTATGACTGCCTCGGTATGGTCATTATTAGAATCAGTTTTATCATCAACAGTTGTAGCCTGAGCTTCAATGGGAGGAGTAGTTTCTTCATTCACTACAGCTGTGTCCATGTTGTCATTATTACAGTCAACAGACATACAATCATTTCCTCCCTGCTTTTGCCTATCCTCCTCAATAGATAAAGTATTTTGCTTCACCTCTGCATCAAATTGGTCTTTTTTCTTTTTGTTTGGGGGTGAAAAGCTATCAATCACTGAAGAAGCTCTTTTTCCTGAAGGCATAAAACAAAATGCCTGAGCTGCATCTGGACTTTTAATTTCTTCATTATTATTTATGACTGCCTTTGTATGGTCAATATTAGAGTCAATGCTAATGACAACAGCTGTAGCCTGAGCTTTGTCTTGATTGGTTTCTTCATTATTATCTATGACTGCCTTGGTAAGGTCATTATTAGAATCAGTGTTATCAACAACAGCCGTAGCCTGATCTTTGTCACAGTCAGTTTCTTCAATATTATCTATGACTTCCTTGGTAAGGTCATTATTAGAATCAGTGTTATCAACAACAGCCGTAGCCTGATCTTTGTCACAGTCAGTTTCTTCATTATTATCTATGACTGCCTGGGTATGGTCATTATTAGAATCAGTGTTAACAACATCTGCATCCTGAACTTTGTCTTGATTGGTTTCTTCATTATTATCTATGACTGCTTTGGTATGGTCATTATTAGAATCAGTTTTATCATCAACAGTTGTAGCCTGAGCTTCAATGGGAGGAGTAGTTTCTTCATTCACTACAACTGTGTCTATGTTGTCATTATTACAGTCAACAGACATACAATCATTTCCTCCCTGCTTTTGCTGATCCTCCTCAATAGATAAAGTATTTTGTTTCACCTCTGCATCAGAATGGTCTTTTTTCTTTTTGTTTGGTGGTAAAAAGCTTTCAATCTCTGAAGAAGTTCTCTTTTCTGAAAACATATAACAAAACTTTAGGGCTTACAGTTTTTCCTTGGAGAACAGAACATGTTTTGATTTTATGAATATCATTTTTAGAATTGTTAACCAGGTAGGCCTAATATTTAGATAAACATACTTACTTGACTCAGAGGGAAATTCAACTTCGTGTTCAGAATTTCCTTCAGCTATAGATATTGCTTCTTGTGTTGACATGATGAACAATAAATTATGGATTTATTCCCAAGGATCTTGAAGGATGCTGAAACATAATTTTCAATGTACACGTATTAAAACACAATCATTATAAAATCCTCTATATATAGCGTTAAATGTAATGGCAGTGTTTCAAAATGTCCAATGGTGGACCAAAATGGTATTCAATAAGAATTAGTAACCAACAAATACATATTTTTTCATCCTTGAAACTGAATGGGGAATTGCAATTATTAAGCGATTTCATTGTTCATTACATGATTGTCTCCTGCACTGTTGTTCCAAAAATAATTTAGGTTTCTAACCTTTCCCTCTCCACAATCATTAGTTTATAGGTGACGATCAAATAAAATATCAAAATCTCCTTTCTTCACAAATGTACAAGTACAATGAATAGAGTTGATGAGAATGTAGCTTGTTGCTTATTTACAATATTTTAAGTTATTCCAGTTAATATGAGTAAGCTACCGTGTTCATAAAATTCTTAATTTTTCAGGGGTTTTCATTGTTTTCAGTAGAAAAAAGGAAATTTTCAAGTTCAGCTTTAAATTTTGTGTAAGGTAAAAAAAAAATTAAAAAGAGTAGAATGAAAAAATTTCAAAAATCGGGTGAAGACCCTTAGTAGTAGTTTACGCAACGATCGCGTAAAGATAGTGTTAACGATACGAGTAGAAATTTAAGGTACGACCCTTGGCCCCTGACAGTGATGCAACGATTACGCATTGTACCAACCACTAATTGCTTTACTCGACAATTAAATCGGTCTTAAAAACAATAAGTCAATAAGTCATTTATTTTAAATCAGATTTTCATAAGTAAAATGCATTGGTTATGTCAATTACAGTAATAGGCCTACATAAAATATGTAAATACCCCCGCCGCAGCAAACCTGCCGACTAAGCAAATTTCCATTTGTCTGAATTGATTTTCAGTTAAATATATTTTAATAACATTAGGTTTAACGAGTACCTAGGTTTGCTGCTACAAGGAAACTAATAAAGTGTGTTTTTGAGTAAAATATTGATAGCTTAGTACAAAATAAATAAATTTGCCAAGTTTGATCAAAATATATCCATAAACAAGCAAACTACAACATTTGACAATATTCTCCATAAAAATAACATGGGAATTTTAAATTTACAATTTTTTAATTTTCTCCGTTACTAATAATCGAACAAAAATACATTTATATACTAAATTATTTGTTTTTTTAAGCTCTTTCTTTAAAAAGGTCTAAAGAGAAATCGGGAAATTTTGTGTTTTGAGGGTCAAAAGTGAGAAAAACCAATTTTTACCCCATAAAAGCCCCCGTAAAGCCCCGTTCCCATGGTCCGATCGTGCTGGTTCGCGAACTCATTCAAGTTTATCTCGCTTTACACCTTTAAACCAAATTTCATCAAAATCGGACAAAAATTACTCAAGTTATCGTTCACGGACGTATATATGTATATATAAGTCTATATATATAAAAATTTGAACGAATGGTGTTTTTGGCCTCTGGGGACATCAAAATGAAAAAGTAAATCGGTCCCGGGTCTAGGTCTTACCGTGCCACCTACGGTAATAGCTAGGCTACTTCCCTATAGGGAAATTCGCTAAAAGTGCCTTATCCTACATAGGCTACCATAAGTTATTTACATTTGGTTTACATTTACATTTTGTTTGGAAATGCACTCATTATGCCCATGGTTGCCCCTCAGCAATAAACTCCTGGACACGGTAGTAGCATTTAGATATTAGTAATTTCCGGAGATTTTTTTCAAAAATTACAGGGTCTGACTCAGGTTTTTAGATTATTCGACAAAGCATTGAAGAGCAAGATTCCGTTATAATATGGGTGGCAGAATATGGTATCTGAAAATTGAGGCTGTTCCGCAGAGATGGGCAAGATCTGGGGATTGCAAAGATAGAGAAGTTGTTAAAAAAAAGAGTGTTTCAAGAATGTACAGTACAAGCAAGGAGAAGTTATAATACTTGAATACAGAAAAAAATCTTTTAGGCTACAAGAAGTTCTTGGACTGATTTTAAAGATAGTTTGAATTGCTATCTTTTTGAGTTGAAATAAAAATCGAGTTCTATCATTTTCGCATCCCCATGTTGGTACTATGTAGACCAAATGATGACACCATAAAAGGCTGTTCAGAAGGACATTCTGATCGGAGAAATTTGATGGTTGTCTAAAGCACATCGCACACTAAAGCTCTCGTTGGTGTATTGTCTTTACTCTTTACAGTTGTTAATTTGGATACATACCATCCATTTCATTGCCAATGCCTAGTTAGGCCTAATGTCAAGCCAAATGAGATATTGGCTGCACTTTAGTAAGACTGTATCTGTCCTACACTCAATCGAATGAAAAATAAGTTAACCCTTTCAGTGCTAGGCCAATAATTCGCATTTCGTAAGACTTTTTTGTTTGCCTTTCAATTCCATTACCTGTTGTTGAATTTTAACTGTAATGTTGTCACTATTTTATTAATTAGGCTAATTTTGAATAATAAGACAATTAGAAAATATATAACACAGATAAATCCCGGTATTGGTAGTAAACATTAAATAAAACTTAAGTTAGTTTTTGTTGTAATTTTCCTGGTTTTCCAACAAATTTTTATGTTCTGATAGCATTGTTTGAAACCAAAATCTCATAAAATCAAAAGACATATAGTTTACAATATAATATTGAATTTAACTTTGATTTAGTTGGACGAGGTTATCGTAATATTGCCATTTTAGGGAAAATAATGTTTTGCAGCAAAGTCTCAGGAACACATTTATGATCACTGTTGTGTTCCAACTGAAAAATATCATCTAAATAGTCCGTGACTTAACTAGTGCTGCTACCTAGTAGCGCATTGAACAACCATCTGTAGCGCTATCTGTTCGCAATCGGTGGCGTCAGCTTAAATGCCTGTTTTGGACTCCTCAGTCTTCAAGCACAGATAGCCGAGAAGGCTAGGGCGTGTGTCACTTGGCCAGTGGCATTCGTCTGCTCGGGTTCGATTCCCGTCCTGTGTGGCAAATAATTGGTGACCTGTGTGTTTGTAGCAATACTACAACCACTGGGGCATAGTGAGGTGTTCATAATCCTTGGTTTAGACATACACCTCGAAATCTTCGGATTAGGCGAATTTTTTAGCTAAGTGGCTGTTAGTGTATCCTATGAACATTCATTATTCATTATTCATTGGCCTTCCTCGTTGACCCTCTGGTGAGGGAATAGACTGCGTCGTTGTTTAATACGGAAAAAAGACACAAAAACAAAGACTACAAGCGCATATAAAATAAAACTGTACAGTAAAACCTCTTTAATCCGAACTAATTGGGACCGGGGGTAGTTCGGACTATTGAATAGTTCGGATTACAGAACATATTGTTGTTTTTACTAACAATAGCTAGGGAAAAGTGTAAAATGCTTTATAAAGTGAAATACAGTGTTTATTTTAATACAGTAGTAAACATGGGGAATAAAAAGTACTGTACATTACAATTAAAATAATTACAGTGCATATATCAATAAATACAGTTTTCAATAAAGAGCTACTGTACTGTGTATAGAGTACAGCAATGAGGCGTTCGGATTAGTGGACGTTCGGATTACAGGGGTTCGGATTAAAGAGGTTATACTGTATATTAAACATGGCGGGCAGGCAGTAGGCGGTACAAAAAATTAATTGTCCCGCTCCAAATTGTCCTTAAAGAAATCCTCTACTTTGTAGTATGGTCTATTGATCATCAAGTCTTTCACAGCACTCTTGAACTTCTGGTCTTCCAAAAATCGAATGCTGGAAGGGAGTCTGTTGAAGAACTTGATGGCTGACGTAGGGAAGGAATTGAGCGTCCTGCTCAATCTCGCACGGGGAACATCGAGATCCTGCCTAGCTCTGGTATTATGGGCGTGGATGTGGCTTCTGGTCTTGAGAAGAGGAACACTGCATTTGATTTCAACCAGGCAGGCGTAGATATAGTGGCTGCACACGGTTAGAATTCCAAGTCTCTTGAATATCGGTTTGCAGTGTTCTCTAAAAGGGCTCCTTGAGATTATACGGACTGCCGCTTTTTGAAGCTTTAAGACTTCCTCCACTTCCGACGCATGACCCCAAAGGTGTAGTCCATACGCAATGTGCGAATGAAACAGGGCATGGTATACCAAGAGCAGGTACTGCTCCGTGACACATTTCCGGAGGCGCCTGAGGAGACAGTTGACTCTCGCAAGCCGTGTGGCAACATGGTCATTCCAGTCGAGTCGGCTGTCCAGCTGGAAACCGAGAAGTTTTACTGCAGCCATGTCGTCCGAGGAGTCTCTGGGTTTTGTCTCCATTCAGTTGCAGCTTATTCATCTGGAACCATGCTTTAGCTTCTTGGACCTGGATTATGGCTAAATCCAGTGTAGTGTAGGTTTGGCCCTTTAGTGAGAAGCGTGGTATCATCCGCAAATAGTATAGAGCTGCTGGTCTCGTCGATGTCATTGATGAGGACCAGGAATAGAAGAGGGCCCAGCACAGATCCTTGGGGAACCCCCTGGTTCACCTCCAGTTCTAGAGAGCTTGCGCCTTCGAGTATTACCCTCTGGGTTCTGTTGGCTAGGTAGTTCTTGAAGGTGGAGAGAACCACACTACCAACGCCATATCTGCTGAGTTTTTTGAGCAGGATATCATGGGATACACAGTCAAAGGCTCTGCTGAGGTCACAGAGTGTTAGCATTACCGACTCCCCAGCTTCAAAGGCCTCGCCAACTTCTCTTGCAATCCTGGCAATCGCAGACGAAGTAGATCTCCCTGCGCGGAAACCGTGCTGTGAGTCTGAAAACAGCTGGTGTGTTTCAAAGTATGTACGGTATACAACTGATTCTTCATCACCGTCTCTATCACCTTACTAATCACAGGTAGTATCGAGATAGGTCTGTAACTCGAGATACTGGCATGATCACCTTTTTTGTATATTGGAACGGTCTTGGCTCTCTTTAGCTTGTCCGGAAAAACACCTGTCAACAAGCACCTGTTGATAACTGTAGTCAGGGGGGCAGAGATGTCATCAGCTACATCTTTCAGTAATTGGGATGACCAGCCAAAACAATCACATGCTCTGGAACTTTTTGAGTCCAGAGATTAGAGTCTGTATCTGCTTTCCTGAGATGGGATTCCATCTGTCAAGGGAACAGTGTAGCTCTTCCACACGCAAACATGCAGGTCACCAATGGCCGTTTTGTTACTTTTTACTTTTTGTTAAAATAACCTTTCTATCTATATCCCTTAGAGATTTTTTAAAACAACGATATATCGTTTCATAGCACTGAAAGGGTCAAGTTATCAATATATAGAGTATTCGATATCATCAATTATTTCATTCGGTTAGTTAGGTTAGGTTAACCAAACTTAACTTATCAAATGAAATAATCAAAATATTGATCGATATATTCATTCGAATGAGTGTAGGACAGACTTAAGTTAAGAAAAATAGACTTCCGCAGAGAACCTACGATATATTATTGGACGAATAATAAAATAGGCCTATAAAAACTCGGGTCATTTTGATATAACTTGTCTTGTCTTGTTTTGACCTTGTACTCTAAACCCATTAAAGTGCTCTTCCTCGACAAATGTTTAACCAACATAGGCTAATACCTTTCATTGACCATTCCACATGCAATTGTATTGTCTATTGGGAAATAAAGCTTTGATTTGATTTGATATATCAAACATAGCTTAACTTATAAGGTACCGGTAGGCCTACCCATTTTTTTTAAATTGGGACCATCAATTTCGAGGTGGGTTAATCGATAATAAGTTAGGTTACCTACCTAGCCTTGTTTGAAAAAAAATGTAAAAGGAACTTAGGTCTAGCCTAGCTGTAACAGTGTGCTGCATTTAAAAAGTAGCTGTAACTTAAACTTAGTGTGCTACGTTTAAAAAGTAGGCCTAGGCCTAAGCTAAGTTTTTTTTCTTTTAGCTTTTCAAACACTGACCCTAACTTAGGTAAGCATGTCATATCGCCCAAAGATCTAGGCTAACGAATTCGCTTAGGCTATAGGCCTAGCCTATTAAATATTGAATTACCTTCTAGATTTCTTATGTGATATAAATTAGTAGGCCTAGTCTTTAGGTGACCATGAGGATGACACATAACTTAAAGGTGACAGATTCTGATGTAAAAACACACTTAGGTTAGTCAACCCTCATAAGTTACAGCAAAATGACTTGCTAATCAGATAGGTCTACGGTAAAACAATAATTTGGTAAAACTGAGTTTTCACTACTTATGTTATTTTGACTTTTTTTTACTTTATTTACCTAAATTAGACTTTTTTGAGCACTTTTTACATTTAACACTTTTGGGGGAAACGCCGTTTTCACCCTCAAAATCGCGTTTAAAGTTTGCCAAAAATTATCACAATAAGGCCATAGGTAATTATGTCGACCTCCAGTCAACGCTCTAAAAATTATTTTTTTTTTTAAATCTGTTCGTTTTTTAATGCTGATTCCAAAAATGGGGGACGCGCCAAGGTCCGCGGCCAACAAGATCTACGACCACCAACCTGACCTACGATTGGTGGTGCGAAATGTCCGAGCTGAACCAGTTCCGTGACGGGTGAAGGGGATGTAGTCGTGTTTGCTGCCGGTAGACCTTGTTGCCAGTGGCCAACGCATCTATTAGGCTGGTGCGGTCAGGACAAAGTCTCCTTTACATTACTAATATGCATTTGTTTATTGATACTATCATTATTATAGTATTTAAATGGGATAAGAGTAAGACTAATACAAAAGTAACCCGTGCTATATATTTGTATAGCATTTTTGCTACTAAGATAAATAAATCTGGTTTATGCTTATTTTCTTAGAATAAAAAAATCCTTTTGTATTTATTGAAGTTAATTACCCTTTTCGAAACCCTCCTATAGTAGGTGAATAATTTACTTTAAACTTTGTAATGTTAAATAAATATTTTAAATTCAGAACGATAATTAAACTTTTGGCCAGAAGATATCATAATAAGTTTTATTTTAAAAAAAGTCAACTTAAATTTTTGGGGAATGCTATTATTGTATTAATTGTAATAATTCTTACTACACTTATATTAACAATTGAGTTATTTGATTTTACAAGGAAATCAATGTAAAAATAAAGCTTGTTATACATAGCCGGCACTTATTGTATATGTATGGCTGAGTACCATACGAAACAACGCCTGCAAAAACTAGTATACCTTTTGCAAACTCCGCCGTATTGTGGGATGATAGGAACGCCTTTTCCATTCATTTAATCAATGGATTGTTAATCTTTGTTGCTTTTAATAATATTTTATTTATGCGCTGCTATGTTGTAGTTTTGTAAAATTTTTAAAAATGACATCATATTTTCAATTATTGTATAGTACTAGAGAACCCGTGAGGCTCAATGAGCCGCATAGTATGAAACATAACGCCAAGAAAAACATTAAGCTTCAATTCGAATAGTTTTAGTTACATCTTAGAGTTGTTTGAAAACTTTTTAGAAACTAATTTTAAATATTTCTATTTGCGTCGTCAAGGCTCACTTACATTACCGGTATTTCTGCTCTCAGTTTTAACTGATGACTTCTAATGAATGCTAAACGATCTGCTTCAATTCGAGGTAACATGCTGCAACAAAGTGTTTCCAGAATCGAGAACTTAAGAAAACCTTATATGCCTTACTGATAACCTGTGTTAAGTGATTGAAGTCGAGTCATTTTATTTCTTTGATTTGAGACATACACCAACCTACTCAAACGAATTTTCTCCGTAGAGAATCCTGAAAAATGGGGTGATATCAATCATTTCATGTGCTACATGTTTTAACACAGAATACAGAACCTAATACAAAAAATCACACTTATTTTAATAAGGAAATAAATTGAAAGAATAACAAACAAATAAGTATGTACAGCTAAGGTATTTTTAACATTAGGTATATGGAAAGTTCGCTTTAGAAATGAATTACGACCCTAAAGGGCAATTTACGAAATAATGGATAGTTTGGATAGTAATGGAAGTTTGACAGTTTAACAGTTTGCTACAAACACTTGGTTGAAAGAAACATTTACTACAAGTGTACATGTTGCTCGAAATCGAGCAATTGCGAAGAAGTAAAGTACGGTAGTTGTTTAAAAACAAATAACTTATTTAAAACCTAATAAAAGTCATAATTTCCGATGAGTTTAAAAGACTCAACTCATAGATCACGTACCTAACAGTTCCATATAATCAACATTTCTTGTATATATTTTATCATTTTTCAAAAGCTGATCTAGTTTTTTAGTGTATTCTACAAATATTTCCCACTTATAGCCGCATTAGGTTGTCCATGTTGATCTTCGTCAATGATAATGTAGTCTGCATGCTACTACCCATTGTTGCCAGTACGTTTACAAATTTCTGTAATTTTTTTACAACGATAACATTTTGTTTACATTACTTAAGAACTGCCTGATTTTCTGCATAACCTCTCCATCACAATTGTATTTGCATCAATTGGCAATAATTTGGCTAGTTACTGTTATAACGTATGTTATATAATTGAGTACACGTATTATACTCAATGGATAAATTTACCAGAAAAAATGCAGAATTGAAAAACCTAATATTGTTCAGATGGTTTTTTTGTTTCCCTTAAATGTGAATAATGCAAATCCTTCAATGAAAGTTTTATTAAAGTTTTTGAAAGTAGTCATATTATTTTAAAATCTCTTAACTTTTAATAAAACATATATTAAAGTCCTTGCCGTAACAGTTTAATTCAGCCTTAGAGTGTTTTCCTTTGCCAATAATCATAAAGTTAAGTCCGTGTTTCCTACAAAATAGTAACACTTCGACTAACATCCTTGTTCATTTTTTGTGGGAATATTCATACTGTAGGTGTTCTTCATTATATAGGAGGTAAAATATATCAAATTGCCAAGGCTTTCTCGATTATTTAAATTGTAAATTAAAGTAGTACATTTATTTCATTTCTATTAAACCAAAATCAGTAAATGAACCCAATGCGTTTCGTTGAGTTGAAAGATAAATAACAGCAATTAAATTATACAGCTGATCAAAATCTAAACAATTATGTTCTTCTTAAGGATAACATGGGAACTTTGAAAACCACTGGGGCAGAGCCCAAGGGTCGTTTTCAAAAATGTAAGGCCAGTTTGCAAATCTACGCGACACGCTCTTTCCAATGAGACGTCAATGGATAAAATCGGTAAAGAAATGGCGGAGGAGTTCAACCGACAAAGTTTCATGTTGCGTATTAAATATTATAGATTTGAATTTGGGTTGGCGCAAATATTACAATAGAAAAAAGAGAGAGAGAGCCTGGATGAATTGATATACTAAAAAGAAAACAGCAACAGGGACACTATAACAGTATACCGGTATCTATTACGTGTATTACTTATTTAATACGCAAGCAGGTTTTTTGTGACAATTACTCCTCCGAAACTACTGAACCGATTGGCATGTTTTTGGTGCCATGGGAAAGAGCGTAACGTGAAGTTGTGCAGGAAACTTTCTGCTTAGGGAAATAATTACTGAGTGAGGCCTAGAGGTCCTTTAAAGTTTCGTATTTCTCCATAAGATTAACATGGGAAACAAACACTGTTATGAAATTCCAACCACTGTTGGCAGAAACTAAAAGTGAGAAGAAGAACATATGTTAATTGTAAACAGTCAATACGTTTGCAAAGAAACTATTGATTTCCTATAGGGAAATTTGCTAAAAAACCAAGTGTTGCACGTGGTAGGGACTTAAACGTGAAATCTGTCCATAAAGCACATTTGTCTGATATAAGGTTTTTGCGTAAAAATTAAGCTCTTAATTAGGACATTGAACTATGATAATTATTATAATTTTTAACAATATCTATCCACCACCGTCAATGCGTCGATGATATTATTTAGCTACAACTGCAGCGACCCTTGTCGCGGCTGTAGCTACCTGCCGCCGAGAGAAAGCTAGCACCCCAACACAACAGTCTTTGTTTGGGTTTCAAGGAACGCAAACTCTTTGTTCTCTTGCTCGCAAAACTGGACCCTCTGGTCATCGAACCGCCGCGCCGCTCCGCTTCTGTGGTGTTATACAGCCCACGAGGCTTTGCACCCCCTGTGGCCACCCCGTGTTTTGTAGTAGGTGTTTGGTGTTTGAGGGCCAACAGTTATTCTCAATAGACAACCCATAATTATTCGGTCCACAATGGAATGACATGCCGGGCACGTTATCGGTTCTCTTTATTGACTGTCTTTTTTGAGTATTTTCAGGAAATACATGATAGTAATTTGTAGGAAATTTTATTCTCTATCAAGAATATCACCGTCCACTTTGGTCGATTTCCTCACCATTTAAAAGTTACTCTATTTTCAAAAACGTTAAGCAACCTCCCAATTTATAGTGGTGAGAAAATACTGAATGAAAGATGTTGTTGTTAAACTTTCTACAATTAAATCTACAGTTATACTGAACCGATTTTATTAATTAATAGGTCATTGGTAAGCCTAATTTGTGTAGATTTGCAAATAATTATGAAAGTTTGATTTTTTTAAAGATTGACTAGATGAAACCCGTCAAAGTCGACAGTTACTGTTGAGGTTGCAAGCAAGATAGTTTGACTATAAATCGATGATAAATAACTCTATTTTTTGAACAATTTGTGTTGTTCGTGATTAAGCTGTGTCCTTTAGGTACGTCCGATCTTAATAATCAATAAATCAAATGGAAGCTGGTATTTCACTGAAGGTTCTTAGGTCAAAACAAATAGAATAACGTAATTTGAATTGAGTAAAAATATCACAAACTAAATTCCACATCCAAGATATAATCAAATTTATGTTTTCTGATTGAGCGATACAGTATCTTGAAGTTAACTGATTAAAACAGTGCTTTAGATACGATTATTAAGATCGGAATCTTAATAATTAATAGCTCAAATGAAAGCTGGTATTTCACTAAAGGTCTTTAGACCAAAACATATAGGGTAATTTAGTTAGAGCTGCTGAAATACATCTTTAATTGAAGTAAAAAAAAATTTAAATTTTTTCGTTGGGTAATACATTAAAAAAATTAATGATTATGTTTGATCACAAATATTTGCTTGCATAACTTTATTTTAAGACCAAAATTAAGAAAATGGGATGGGCAGAAGAGCCAAACGAACTTGAAAAAAAAATTAACTCCCATAAGAAATGTACAGGGACACATTTTGTGCATAACTCGAAATATACGTAAATAAAAATGAATGCCGATTCTTGATTGCAAATCTGTAGTGCGTCCATACCTTTAGTTTGAGGCCAAAATTATGAAAATCGGTCGAGTAGAAGAGCTAACCCGACTCGGAAAAGAAACCCCAAATATTATTATAGATGGCCATAGGTGGTTTATCAGTATTCATAATCTAATCATACGAAACCTTTTGTGTTAATAATTAAACGGCTTATTGTTATTTGATTGATTTGTCTTTAATTAAATGTTGTCGTTAACAATTTGCATTTGTGTTTAAAGTAAATTATCATTCTAATGTTATGTGCTTAATCTGTACCATTAATATTAGTGAGTAAAGTGGTGTATGGATTTCAAAACCATT